TGAAATCAGCTGGTCAGATAACCGAAATTTTCATTTCGGCCCGAAACTGGGAATTTAAATTTTCGAAGATTCCCAAAAATTTTCAAAATTTTATTTTTTTTTGTCAGTATGACTCTGCTTTCCAATTTTCGAACCTCCGATGTTCATAAGCAAGGTTCATTTTGCTGCATTCAGTTATTTCCTAATTATCTACCCATTACTAAAATTTAAATAAAGTTGACCATTTTGAAAATTTTAGTAAGGCTGACCATTTTGAGAAAAAACGGATATATCCGCGGATGGATATGACTCAAAAGTCGGACGGATACAAACGGATACGGATATTGACCCCACGGATATATCCGGATACGGATAGCAAAATCGGTATCCATGTGCAAGTCTGATATTAAGTATTACTTTACAAAATGTTTTACATAATTAAGAGTAAGAGTAATATATTCGGAAAGGAATATATTACTCTTACGGAAAGTTTAATATATTCTATTTTCCGGAAACTTTTATAAAATCTTTAGGAAAGTCATTCTACTTTTCCGGAAATTTTTATATTCTCTTATTATATACTTTTCCGGAAAATTAGTATATTTTCTATTCCGAAGATTTTATTATTTTTCCGGAAAGTTTAATATGTTTATTTTCTTTTCCGGAAATTTTTGTATACATATTACTCTACCGAAATTCTTCTTATAAAAAATTTAACAAATAATTATTTATTTAATAAAATATTATTCTTTTTATTATTTTATTTATTTTTCAATACCTTTTTAAACAAAGCCAATTGTTGTGTAACCCCAGGAATTCCAATAAAAGAAAGAAAAATTAATCTTGGCAATTCATCCATAGGAACATTATAGGCTAATTTACACGAACTTATTTCTAATTTTAAATTAGAAAATTCTGATTCATTTATTGCTTTTGAAGTATTTTGCTCTTTTTCGAATAATTCTTGCATAGATTCTCTTACTTCTAAAATAAATTGAGTAAATTCCTGAAATAATAGAAAATATATTTTTAAAGTATTTCCGGAAAGTTTAATATATTTTCCTTTTTTCTATATTTTTCCGGAAGATTTTATATTTATTACTATTCCGGAACGTTTATATTCAATTAATCCGGAAATTGAATAACGTACCGGAAAGTTTTCTCCTTATATTTTATATTCTTCCGGAAAGTTTTATATAGGTATTTAATTGGCTGCCGGACAATGCGTGAGTGGAAAATGCGTCAGTGGACAATCGGTCAGTGATGATATAAAGTGATTAAAAGTAATGATTTAAAGAGAAAATCCACTGATATCTCACCAAATCGAATGATCTCCATCTTAATCCAACCAACCAAATTAATATCTCTGTTAATCCTCCCAAACCCGTGATATCGGCCTTAATCCCAATAAATCCCTCTATATCTCTTTAAACCCCCAAAATCCCTTTTTAAATACTCCTAATTTGTTTATATCCCATATTTAGTCCTTTTATATCAATTTTTATCTCTTTATATCATTTTTTATCAATACTGATACTGACTGTCCACTACCGCATTGTCCACTGACGCATTGTCCGGACACGATTTAATTAATCCGAAAAATAGGAAAAAACTTTTCCGGAAGGTTAAATATCTCTATAGAAATAAAATCGTTCCGGAAAGTTTTTCCCCATATATTTATCACTATATTAATTCTTTCCGGAAAGTTTTAAATAAACAACACCTGCTTATTATTCCCCTCTCCCACACTCTTTATATTTTCCTCTTCCCCCTCTTCATTTTCCTCCTCATCAGAAATATCAGAACAATTTCCAGGAAATTCTTTAATTTTCTTCTTTCCGGAATTTTTAATTTTAATTATTTTTTCAAATTCTTCTAAATTTTCAATTTTATTTTTCTCCAAAATATTTAAATAAATTTCTTGTCCAATAACTTCTTCATTACTTAAAATATCCAAAATTATATTATCTACACAATTAAAATCATAATTCCCAGCAAAATGTCCAATAAAATCTAAGGCACAAATAAATATATTTAAGGGGAATAAATCTGTTCGAAAAGTTGTTTCGATGAGAAATATATCCTAAAAAATAAAGAATTTTTGAAGTTTAAAAAATATTGAAAATTTTTTTAATGTTGAAAAATAATTCCGAAACATGACTAATGTTTTTTAAATTAAAAAGTTAAAAAATGTAGAGAAAAATAGTTTAAAAATTTAAAAAATTCGAAAATGTGTAAAAAATATTTAAAAATATTCTAAATATTTTTAGAACGCTAAAATTTTTTTTAAATTTTTGTGGGAATTTGTAAAAATGTTTTTTTAATTTTTTAATTAAAAAAAAATCCCCAAAAAATTAAATTTTATTTTTACCTCCAAAAATTTTTTAAAAAATTAAAAAAAAACCTTTTTTGTCTGTAAATATCTTCTTCCTTTTTTCCCCTCTATTAAATTATAATTAACTAATTTTTTAGTACAAGTTCTATAACAAATTAAAGAATTAATTGAAGATTCATCAACATCAATTTCTGAATAAATTAATGTTGCTACAGCATTCTTATTTTGTTTTCTGAGTGTTCTAAAAATTTAAAAAATTAGAAAATATTTTTAGAGAACAAGAAGAAAACATTTAAATATTTTCTTAAATTTTTTTTCGAAAAATGTGGAAACCCAAAAATTGTAAAAAATTTCCTTTTTGCTAGAAAAATAACTAATTTTAAACGAAAAAATCAAATTATATAATCATGACTTATTAAAAATCGCGATTATTTTGATCCCGTTTCGTGAAAAATGTGGATTGAGCTGTCTTTACCAAAAGTGAACGACAGATAATGTGGCTGTATAAATTTATTCGATTATGGGCAGCCCTTTTCCTGACCCTAATTTATTTTGAAGTTAAAGTTATCGAAAAAATCAATATCAGAAAAATCTAAGACGATCTAATTTTCAATCCCTACCCCTGATTTCTAAAAAATAAATAAATTTAAAAAACCTAAAATTTTCAATCCAACTTTCCAAATTAACCGAACAAAAAGTAGCACAATTATAAACAAACAAAAAATCTGTTTTGAGTAATTGACGGTCCTCAACTTGACGTAAAATGTCGTTTATTGATTTGCACTCATCCACAGATAAATACTTTAAAAAGCTTTTAGTTAAGGAAAACTTTTTAATTAAAATTAAACCTGCAACCTTTTGAAACGTTTAGACCATTTTCTAGGAAAAATAAAATTTAAAGGAAAATTAGTAATATTGAATCTATTAAAAACCCCATTTTTCCCCTCTATATTTTTTCCCAAATTTGTACAGAATGGTCAAACTTTATCCTTTCTCCCATCCCAAAAACGCTGAGTCTTGTTCAACCTCGACATCTCTGGTAGGCTCTTTTTCCATGAAGAAATCCAAGCTCTTCGAGCCATGCATCGAAATCATTATCGCTCAAAGATAATCTTTCTTGTAACAAATATAGGGAAAAATATAGGGAGGAAAAAATAGAGTTTGTCAGGTTCAATATTACCGAAAAATTAATTTAAAATTTTGAGAGAAGGGAGAACGAGGAAAACTTGAGGGAGGTAGTGCCACGAAGTGTTGGACAGGGATGAGCTACCAGTAATTACTGGACCTGCTTTCACCTTTTTTAAATAGACCCTAAACGCTCACCTAGTAAGCACTTTAAATTCTAACCAGCTAAATTTCTCCCCTTCTTTCTTCCTTACCCCAAAAATCCTAAAATTTAAAAAAACCAACCTCAACAATTCCTCCCCAACACTTTTTGGATTATTTCCATAAGCCACAATTACATTAGGCGATAATAACCAAGAAATTTCTTCCAAACATTTATCAATTAAACGAGGTTCGTATAAAGTAGAAACGCTGCTGTCCTTTAAAAAAAAGAAAATTTCTTTTTAATTCAAACAAAAAATACCTCAAGTCCTTCTTCAGTCAAAGAAAAATCAGAAATAATTAACAAAACTTCTACTTGTTCTAATTTATTTTGCATTTAAATTACAATAGAAAATTTAATTTTTGCTTAAAATCTGAAATAAACAAACCCCTTGAAAATTAGAAAAAAAATTTTGAAGAAAAATTTAAAAAAAACAATAAACTGAAGATGACGATTTTTAAGATTTTCAGTTAATGGACATTTTGAATATATGCCAAAAGTATTTCGAATAAATTTATTTTAATACAAATTAGAGAAAGAAAATAAATAAGAGAGAAACAGAGAAAATAATTAAATAAAAGCTCTCAAATATTTTGCCAAAACCATATTTTGCAAACTTGTCTAATTCCAAATTTTGCCAAAAAATTTTGTTGGCAAAACGTGGTTTTTTAGTCTTATTGGCAAAATGTGTATAAAATATATTTTTCTCTACATTCTAGACATTTCTATATATTTCTATAAAATTAAATGGAAGAGAAACAGAACAAGAAAAGTAAAGGTTCCCCCTTCTTTTTTATTTTATAAAATCCATTCTCGTGCATTTATTTTACTCTAAAATTTTAGATAAATTTAAAGAATAAATTAAATAAAATTTCAATTTTCTAACTACTTTTTTACCTTTAAAACCCTTCAAAAAATGAATACTTCTAACCACCAAATAACTTCAACAACAACTCCACTAAATAAAATTAATATTTTACAACAATTTCCACCTATGAAACAGGGTAAGGGAAGACGATTTTTGAAGTTAAAAGTTGATGTTTTTCGAGAGTTAACAACACCCCTTTAAATACCCAACAAATTCTCGTCTTTTTGGCATTCTGTTTACAAAAATTTAAAAATGACATTTTATCCCATTAATTATTTTTAAAATTTCAAAATGGTAACTAAGCAAAAATTAGTCACAAAAACATTCGAAAGGGAAGGAAAGTACATTTTCTAAAAAATATTTTCGAAATAATTCAATGAAAACAATTTTGGGAAGGGTTTAAAAACAATTACTACATATATTCTCTCTCCCCCTCCTTTTCTTAAAAAATAATTATTCAATTTAATAATAATATTTTATCATGCCAGAAGAAAAAAATCGAAAAATGCTTGAAGAATTACAACGGCAGAAGCGTCAGATGATGCAGAAAAATGCTAGGTAGTTTAAATTTTTTTTGTAAAAAAATTCTATAAAATGTAGCCTAACTAAAAGTATTTTTAAAAACGACAAAATGCCCACTAGTCGAAAAAATTACAAAACGCCAAACTAATTTTTAAATTCATTTAGCTCAACAAATCGCCCAACAAGTTTACAAACAACAGGCCCAATATCAAGTGGAAGCGAGAGGGATTTGTCAACACCGAGTGGAATGGGACCTTCAATTACTCCAACTTCTTTAGCCTCCAAAGTTGTGAGTTTGGAATTTTTTTTTAATTTAAAAAAATTTAATTTTTAAGAATTTGGCTGAAGGGACAATTATGTTTATTCCTGTAAATTCACAATTTGGAAATAGTATAATTCCTGTATTTCCGCGTATTGCACCTGAGACGTGAAAAAGAAAAATAAAAGAGAAGGGAAATTTAATAATTTAAAATCCAAACATTTTTTATAAAAATTTATGTAAATTTAAACAAAAAATTAAAAAGGCATTCCTGGATGTCTATTCTTTACATGAGATTTTAAATGGTCTGAACGGGCAAAACGCATCTCGTTTGTGCAGTAAGCACAACGGAAGGGTCTGTAGCCGGTATGGCGGCGGTAATGCCTGGAAATTAATTTGGGTGTTTATTTTCAAATATTTTCGGAAAACCTAGTTAATTCATCACTTCTTGCAAATCTCCACCCACAATCCTGTAAATTAATAAATTTAATTGCAAATTATTAAGTTGATTAAACCTTCCAGTTGCATTGGAACGGTTTTTCTCCACTATGAGTACGCATATGTGCTTTTAGATGAGAGCTTCTTAAAAGAAAAAATTTTTAATGGCTAATTTAGACTTGAAAATATTGTTTAAAAAATTTTCTGCGATTTTCGTATTTTTTTAAAATTCCAAAAATTGGACATTTCGTCCCACTCTTATATTTTTAGTTATTTTTATTGCAAACAAAAATTGTAAAACTTGAATTACAAATTGTAAAAAAAGTTTAATTAAAACTTGAATAACAAACTTGCTATAAGTCTTTCCACACCCCAAATGTTCACATTTATGTAAACTTCTTTGACAATTATTTAAAGAATTATTTTCTTTTAAATTTTTCTTCTTTTTATTTTCTTTTATTGTCTCCTTTTTAATTATTAAATTCTTTTTTCTAGGAATTTTTTGAATTTTTCCCTTTACTGTATCAGAGAAAGAACTGGTTGGGGTAGTTGTTGTTGGGGTTGTTGTTGATGACGGGGGTGGATTCTCTTTTTCTTTTTTTAAATTAAAAATAAATTCTTCTTCCTCTTCTTCTTCTTCTCTTTTTTCTTTTTTATTTAAATTTTTTATTTTATTTTTAATAATTAATTTATTAGAATTATTTTCTTGCAAGGTTAAACAAGTGTGAAGGTTGTCATGTTCCACTTAATTAATTATTTTTTAAAAATATTTTTTGATAAATTAAATAAGGTCATTGGATATGGTAATATGTAGTTCTTATAAAAATTTAAAAATCCTCCATTTAAAATTTTTTTAAAAAATTTTTTAATCACATTTTGCTGCTAAAATATACCCTCGATGAGTGGGGATAATCGTAATTCATTTTACAATTTGTAAATTTATTTGTAAGAACTTTAATTGTATATAATTGTAAAAATAATTGTAAAACCGGGCAGTTTATTATTTATTATTTTTCCGGAACGGTTTCAGTTCCTCACCTTTATTACAATTAACAGCATCACCACCACTAATTCCTCTCCCCTCCTCCATCCCCTCTTCTTCTTCAATTTCCATTTTTATCAAAAAATTATTTTTATTTTTATTAATTTCAAAATCCTCATTTCCTCCTCCATTTTCATCTTTTTCTTCAAATTCTTCAATTTTTCTTTTTTTTGAAGGTGTTGGGGGTTGTCCCAATTTAATTGGAGGGGGTGGGGGAGGTAAACATTCATTTAAATATTCTCTTTCTGGAAATACAGCACATGAGGCTAATGTTGCTATTTGTGAATTTAATGAAGGGGAAGATGAGAAAAGTTGACTAAATTTAAAAAAATTTTAAAAATTCTCAGTGGGGCCTTATTATAATTGAAGAGACAATTTGCATAGTTGTCTTCCTATAGGTTTATATTTTCCGGAAATTATTTTATTTTTTTCCGGAAATTATTATATTTTGTTTTCCGGTAAGTTTTGGGTATGTGTATTTATTTTTTCCGGAAACTTTTAATTATGTGTGTTTTCCGGAAGGTTTAGCTATACATATGTTTTTCCGGAAAGCTTTGTATTTAGTATCCGGAAATTATTTTATTTTCTTCCGGAAAGTTTTACAAACCTTAATATAACCGGAGAAAGTTGTTGTTGTGTCTGTTCACAATTTTGTTGCTCTCTAATAGAATTATTTAACAATGCAAAATCTAACGGAGATTTATTTAAATTATTTTGATTTAATTGTTGATTAATTCCAAAAATACTGGGGGAATTTAAATTAGAGGAGGGAGGTGAAAATATTAAATTATTTAAATTATTTTGTTGATTTTGTAGCAAATAATTAGCTGCTAACAGTGAAATACTCGCTTTAAAATTTAATTTTATTTGGAAAAAATCTCTTTTAAATACCAGCAGATGGGTGAATTTCTGTTTGTGATGTATTAATTGAATGAGGAGTTTCTAATGAATTTGAATTATTATTTATGCTTAAATGAGAGGAGGTTGAGGCTGCTGCTGTAAGAGATCGGTCCAAGTTGGTGAACGAAATCTGTGGGAAAATAATTATATTTCCGGAAAGTTTTATATTTGTTTCCGGAACAGTTTATTTAATTTTCCTTAATTTAATATTTTCCGGAAGGTTTTATTTAATTATATTTCCCCGATATTAATATATTTCCGGAAAGTTTTATGCTCACTTTAATACTAATTCAGGAAGGTGTTATATTTTTCCGGAAAAGTTTATATAATTTTCCTGCCTTTTATATTTTTCCGAACGGTGGGTAATTTAATTTCCCTAGAAAGATATAATTTTATATTTTCCGGACTCTCTTATAAAATTTATTAACACCTGTGAAGTTAGTTGATTATTAGCACAACCAACAACATATTCTAACAAATCCTGTCTAATTTCATTATTATCCAAAAATTGTCTATTTGCTACAAAAATACTTTCACTGTCCATATTATTTGTTGGTGTTGTTAATGATGTTGAAGGAGAAAATAAATTCATTTTTTTTTAAATTTGTCTAATGTTTTGTGTTTTGAATTTGTTTCTCTTATGGATAAAAACAAGTCAGGCATTCTCTCACTTTGTCAAAAAACAGGAAAATATTGAAGTGAGAGTTTAATATTTTCCGGAAAGGTTTTATATGTTTTCCGGAAGGGTAATATATCTATTTCTTCTAAGGTTTTACATTTTCCGGAAAGTTTTATATTCAACTCTAATATTATTTCTATCATCCGGAAAGTTCTTCTCTACTTTATAATAACTGTAATGTATTTTCCGGATTAGACACAGAACGAAATAGTGCTACATGCTAAAGAGAATTTTACTCATAGAATATTTACAGATTCTTTAAAATTTGCAAATAATTTGTGTCTCGCAATCAAAATGATTTTTCTGTCATTAATTTATTATATATTTTCTTGCAAAACTATTAAAACAAGCAAAAATGATTATAAAATGTTGAACGTTTGAAGAGTTTATTTAAAAAATAATTATTTTTTTGCAATTTTTTTCTGATGCGGTGATCGAGAAAGTGAAGCACATATATTTAAAACACACAGAATATTTTCTTATCACCAAATTAAAAGGTTTGAAGGAAAAAGGTTAGTGAAGAAATGAGAGAGAGAAAAAAGGAAGGAGAGACAAGTTCAACCGGATCAACCGGAAACGATTAAAAAGGCTTAAAAATTAGGGGGGAAATGGAGTTAGAGGGGAAATTTGAGAGGGGAGGGGAATGGAAGACTTGAATAAATAAATATAAAAAAATTTAAAAAAAACAAAGATGTTTTTAAGTCCTCGTAAAAACAATAAATTTAAAAAATGATGAAATACTTAGGTAATTAATATAAAAATAAAAAAGTAAATAGTTTATAAAATTATAAACTACAAAATTGGTAGAAAAGAGAAAAATTAATTGTGGGTATTTAAATTTGTAATTGTAAAACCGGAAAGTTTATTATTTTTTCCGGAAAGTATTTTTACAATTTGTAATTAATAATTGTAAAAACTTTCCTGAAAAAGGTTATATAAAAGGAAACATTAAATTACCCCAAAAAATAAAGCAAAACTTTCCGGAAAAATAAATAGTAACCTTTCCGGAAAGTTTCCCTTAATTTTATATTAACTTTTCCGGAAAGTTTTTACAATTATTATTTACAAATTGTAAAAATATTTTCATTCTCATTATTTAACTAAAAACATTAAATATTGACAGTCAATAAATTAACAGTTTCTAATTGATTAACCTTTCTACTTCTAATCAAATAAAATTAAATTTTTTATAGTAGTAAATGTAAAAAAATTAATTAAGAAGAAAATAATAATTAAAATCAATAAAATCTCAAGTTTACAATAGAGATCGAACCGAAACGAGATCCCGAACAAAAATCTCCGTTATCAAAAATTGATATTTTTCGGGATATCGATGTTGTTTCTCGTAACTCCCCAGTTCGATCTCTAGTTTGCAATTCAATATTTTTCCGTCAGTTTTATATTTATTTTTTCGGAAAGTCTTTACAATTATTAATTAAAAATTGAATTTGTAATTGTAAAAATAATTGTAAAACCGGAAAGTTTATTTATTTTTCCGGAAAGTTTTTGATTTATTTTCAGGGTTCTTCTCGTAATTTCTATATATCCGGAAAGTTTATACAATTATTAATTACAATTATATTTACAATTGTAAAAAAATATTATTTATTATTCATTATACATTGTATGTATTAAATACGTAAATAACTCGCATCTTTAAAAAAATTTAAAAAAAATAATTAAAAAATATTTTTTTAATTAAAATATGAAAACAATATTTTAAATTAATTTTTAAGGAATGTTTTGTTTTTAAATTCTTTAAAAATAATTAAGTAAACAGGTTTACCTATTTTGAGTATAAAAGGGCTCTGATTAATAAAAAATGTTAAAAATTAGATTTTTTATAAAATTCGGTAAAACTTTGAGAAAAAATAAATATGTAAATTCTTTTCTTAAAGTTAATTTTTATGAATTTTCAAAAAAGAAATTTTTAATGAAAGTTTGGGAGAGATTAAACAAGACAAGGATAAAATTAAGAGTAATTCTCGGTTCGTTTCCAATATTTTTAATGAAAAATTACTGACTGACCTCTAAGAGAATGTGATGACTATTGGGGAAAAAGGTCATTTAAAAATTTAAAAAAATAACAAAAAAATTAACTTTTTCATTACAACAATTCCTTTATACGTCAATTAATTAATTTATTTTTTTGCGTATCGTCAAGTGTGGCGTTAATTAAAATAAAAAATACCCTCCTCCCTACTCCCCCCTCCATTATATGTAGTAAATGATCTATATATTAAATTTAACACAAGAAAATATGTACACATATTTTCTTTACTTTTTTTTTAAAATTAAATTTGGTGACGTTTAAAAAATATTTCTAACTTAAAAAAACTTTAAAATTACTTAATTGAATCACATTAATCACGAGAAAAAAAAGAATAAAGAAAATTCTTTTAATATTTCTTTAAATTAAAAAAATTATTTTTTATCCAAAAATATAAACTATAAAAAATTGATAAATTTTTTATTAAGTAAAATTTTGAGGTGTTTTAATTTTTATAAGAAAAGTTTTTTAAAGGAAAAAGCCGGGATAAAACTGTTTAATATTTAAATATTGAATATTTTTATTGCAGTCAGACCTCACTTGACCTTTCGAGTCCACAAAAAATCTAATGTTAGAGTGTTCGCAAAATAGAGATCTGACTGCTTAATACAAAGTAGGAATTGGTCGGGTTGAGAAAGAAAGGTCGAGTTTCGGAAAATTTTTTGGTCAGATTTCGAGTAACCCCCTCCATCCTTACAAATTAGTCCGCAATTTATTTTCGATTAATTAGAGAATTGTAAAATTAAAAATTTGGAAAAAAAACAATAAAGTACTACCGACGGAATTTTTCGGTAAAAACTTCATGTATTTATTATCAAATAATAACTTTCTAGAATTAAATAAATTTCAAAATCAAAAAGAACTTGCGGACAAAGAAAAAAAAGAATTTCTAAATTATTTTAATTTGGTGGTTATTTAAGAAAAACTCTTTTAATTATTAAACTAAACTAAAATATAAATTTGTTAAAAAAGAGGGGATATTTTTTTGATATTAATTTTTAAAGTTTGTATATACTTGAATTAAACAAATTGGGCTTTAATAGATTTTGGGGTATCTGCATCATTCAAATGTTTTGTAGTATAGCGTAGAGCATTCATTAATTGATTTATCTTTAAAATAACAATTTTAAAATTATGAAAAAAATTTTTGCGGATATTGTTAATCTTCTTAAATTCGACAATTCCAAAAAAAATCAGTAGAAAAGTTAAAAGTTTATAAATTAAAAATTAATTTGTCCGCAAGTTTTGTCCGCAAAATATTTTTCAACCTCCCCCCCCCCCAAACCTGTTGTTCATTTCCATGTAATTTAATAACATCAACAACCCCACGTATATCAATTGGTGATTGTCTGGTAAAAGCCCCATTCGAATCAATATGGTCATAAAGAACAACAGCCCCAACCATAACACGCATTAATAAATCTCGATCGTGATCAGAAAAACGTTCATAAAATTCTTTGTTTTGTAAATTGTGATGGAAAATCTAAAAAAATTTTTTGAATTAGAAAATTTGGATCAATGAAGCCAAAATTCCTACTTTTTAGCACAACTTTAGAAATCTTTCAAAAACCGAAAAAATCGCAGTCGAAAATCTAGGCATTGTTTAACAAAATTCTATTGTTTGAGGTTAGATGAGGGAAACAATTCAGGTTTTGGTCCAAACTTTTTTTAAATTTATTTAAATTTAAAAAATTTAAGGAATCTGCAGAGAATTAAATTCTGTATCGAATGATTACCAGAACTTTAGAAAATTATTTTGTCAAACATTTTAACCAAAAAATTTCCAAACCTGTATAACAACAGCCAAAGTTTCAGTTGTATTTGAAGTAGGCAAATCTGGATGATTTTCAACAAATTCAGTTGTTGCTTTAGCCAAAGAATGAAGCATGGGAGTTGGAGAAGCGAGAAACATGCTGATTGTACCTGCCAATTCTAAAGAGCAATCTGCCTCAGAATCACGTGCTGATTGTTCACTACGAGTTATAACACGTCTAAAAAAAGAAATTTAATTTTTAGAATGCTTAAGTTCCATCATGAGGGAAATCCTGAGAGAATGTTGGGAACTTATATGGTTTGGGTACTCTTTTTTAGCCCCGCCCTTTTTTTCCTTTTCCATCATTATTTTTAACTCATTTTCTTTCTCACCCATCAATCAATTCAGCTGAGGTCAAGTTTTTGTTTAAGATTAGGGCTGGGGTTTTCGAGTCGGGCCGTTTTTCGGGCCACATTTTTATCGGGCCGGCCCGACCGAGTATTTTTCAGGCCTCAGTTATTTTGGGCCGCGTCTTTTTCGGGCCAAAATTCGATGACCGACTCAAATGTTAATTTTTATTTGGGTGACATTGGAAAGAAAAATTAAACTTTTCTTTGTTAATGTCTCAATTGAAAATGCCACAGGAAAAATTGAGTGAAATCGAGGAAGAAAGGAAGAAGAAAGATTTTTTTGACCATTCTGTCCATATTAAGGTTGATTTATGATGGAAAAGAAAAAAAGGGCGTGGCTAAAAAAAGAGTACCCAAACCATATAAGTTCCGAATGTTGATTAAAAAGGCAGGGAATTTTACGTTTACGGCCTCCCAAAATAAAAAAGTTTCGAAAAACGTAAATAACGCCAAAGGTTTGGCGTTCAATCCATTATAGCTCTAATGAAATTCTATCACTGTATACGCCTATGGGTGAATTTAAAAAACGAGATTCGGCTATTCTTGGAAGTAAAATTTTCAAGAAGAAAATCCCAACAACAAACAAAAAACAAACTTGTAAAAACTAAAATCATTTTGTAAAGAAGGTGTATTCATTTTAATTGCATCAAAATGAAAAACAAAATCAATCAAATGAGCAAATTGTTTGCACAAAGCCTGGGCAGATTCGATATGTTCTGCTGGAGGTAGAGGGCCTGAACATAATTCCCATAACAAATTGGGGATTACCTAAAGAATAAAATGAATATTAAAAATTATTTTTTTTGTGTAATTGCTTGCAAAATAAGTTATAATTGAACAATTAAGGAAGAAGTTTAGGAGGCTTCGGAGAATCAAAAAAATTTTAAGAAAAAATTTTTGGGTTTTTCAACGTGAGGTGAAAAATCTCAAATTCCCAGACTTTCGGGGAACGATGAACAACCCTACTGGCGCGAGAGAGAAAATCATTGCGTTTTTCTTACAAGGGGACCTTCCGAAGTGTGATCAAAAATATTTTCATAAAAATTATACATCGTGTATAGCATGGTCGATAGTCTATTCCCATTTCTGGCCTTCCTCCACTGACCCCCATCTCGAAAAGTTATAGGGCTTCAAAGTTTTAGGGGGATTCAAAGTCACTTGTTAGTCTCAAATTCGCAAAAATATTTTAAAAATTCCACTCATAATTCGTTCAACCCCAACAAAAAAAGAACAAATTATCTAAGAAAATAATCCAAAAAAACCTGTTCAATTCGCTGAGCCAATTCAAAATAGCATCTAATTCGGCGAACATGTTCTTTAATTACTTTAAAAGCGTGTTCCTGAACTTGTAAATCCTCATATTCTTGGAGAGCTTTTGAACGCTAAAAAAATTTTATTTTTAAATTTAACTCCTTTAAAAACCTCAGCAGTTGCCCCAGCCCCGTAACTGGATAAACACTCAATACAGACAAAACATTGTTCAAGAATTGATTGTAACTCTAAAAAGAGAGGACGCTCCTAGAAAATAAAAAAAATATTTTTGATATTAGATTAGTTAAAAATAAAATTGTAAGGGTGCTGATAGTTAGTAACAATATTAAAAATTATAAACAAAGAGGGATTCCAACCCGACCACCTCATACCAACAAAACCTAGCCATACCCAACAATAACTCTAATTTTGTATGTCAAATAAAATTAAAGGATACAAGAATTTAAATAATTTAACGTCCATTATTTTAAAGCTTTTCCAATCAAAAATTCAAAAAAAAACCTGATCACTGGGTATACAATTCTCAAAATCTAGAAATACAGCAATATCTTCACAAACATAATTTTGTTGTTGGCAGGCACAGCTAGAGCCTGTTGGAGAATGGGAAAGAACATAACGAACAACATCACTACAACGATTGCCAACACCACGACGAGTCATTTTCTCTTTTAATTTAAATAAAAATTTTATTTGGATTCTACTGAAAATTAGAAAAGAATAAAAATTTTAAATTTCAAAACTTGATTGTCTGTTGGTGTACTAATCCCTCAAAATATCAAGAATTAAAAAAATAATCCGAAATTAACAATAGAAAAAGTGAAAGAAAAACTTGAAATAAAAGACAAATGCAAACTGGACATCTCGTTAAAAAAGAAAAAGTGCACATTTTGTCACTAAAACAGTAACGCTAAAATTTTTTAAAATTTTTTTTAAATTTATTTTTAAATTCCCTCTATTCAACTATCCATCACAAAAAATTTTTTTTGGCTAAACTACCAAACAATACAACTTTTAGCTGTCTGAAAATGTACACTTCGCCCAACAGTCATAAAAAATTGCCATAGATTTTCATGTCAATTTTATATCAAAGAATTGAAAATGTTAACAAGTATATATTACATATTTTTACATCATTTTATATATAGTTAGCTTTATCCTTTGTTAAAATCAATAAAATAATTTTCTTTTAGAAAGTCCTCTTTCTTCACTACTTTTATCTTGCATGTGTTTGTACTCTCCCCCTCTCGTCAATTCTCTTCACAAAAACATTTTTTTTATTTTCAAGCCAAGCCACCAATCCTTTTCTCCATCATTCTTCTACAGCCTTCACATTAGTGCTACTAAACAAATAGTAGCCCTTAAAGAAATATATAAAAAAGTAAAATAAGAGAGGTCGTCGTCCGTTGTTGTTGTCAGTCTTTCCCCCCTCCGTTCCACTCCTTTTTTCTCCTCTATAGCAAAAATTGTCGCCCAAACAACGCCAAACACAAAAATCGATATTGGGCGCTCAATTCTGTGTGAATAGAAGAAGAAAAAGCATTTTTAGTAAAAATTCTCGAAAGCTACCTTTTTATTCTTCTCATTTATTTTCTCCCCTTTAAAATATCCATCCAAACATATGTTGTGTATATTTACTAGTTTTGAAGAAGAAAATTAGTCCTAAAATTTTGTGTGGCTTTTTAAAATATTTTTTAAAAAGATTTTAAATACTTTAAAAATATTTTGTTTATCCCTTCTTGAAATCTTTCAAAAATGTTGTAAAATGATTGCCTACTTCTTTCCTTTAAATAAACTGAAAAGTAAAAGAAAACCTTTAAATACTATTAAAGTTTTAGTGAAAACTTGCTAAAACTTTAATAATTTCGAAATCTCAACTAGTACTAAATATTTCAAAATGTCAACTATTCAAAAGATCCTTGTATTCTTATTAAAAACGTAATGCCAATAAAAAAATAATGCGAAAGTTGACATTTTGAAATATGTATTAAACACTAGCTGATAACCACTCAAAATATCAATTAATCAATCACCTCCGTTTTCCTATTAAATTTTTACAGTAATATATACTTACAAATCAACAACCCAAAAAACTTTCAATATTAACCTTTACGTATTATTTCCTATCAATCATCCAAATAATATTAATTTTTTATCAGTTTATTAAAAAAAAGAATTTTGCCTTGAACATTGAACGAGAAAAATTATTTTAAAAAAATATAAAATCAAACAAAATATTTTTATTTAATCAGAGAGTAGTTTATTGACAAAATTAAAAAAGAGAGGGGAAACTCTCGTCAGTTAAGACTCCCTAAATAACCTCCTCCTTGCAAACTCGGTATAGGCGACTTTTCCCTTTGTCCCAATCAGAGTTTAAAAGCTTATTTGTGGAGGCATTTAACGGAAAAGCTCTCGTTATAACCCACACATTCCCGTTTTCTCAAAGTCGCTACTAATGGAGGTCGTTAACTTTTAATAAAATTTTTATATTCAAAATAATACATATTTTAAATTTTTTCTTTAAGTTTCCCTTCCCAACTTCTCTACTAAATAATTTAATTATTAAATTTCACTCTCTCAAAAAAGTCAAGTGTTTAAACAGTCAATACATTTTTGTTTAATCAATAGGATTTAATGAAACCTGTCTTTTTTTATTTACAGCCGTTTGGCAGTCATTTGACGAAATAAATAGATTGATTGACTGAATTAATTTTTTAAATTTTTAATTTTAATTCCCTTCCCTTTTTTGACTTTATAAAAATAAAAATAAATAAAAATAAACTCTCAATTACCCCCCCCCCCCTTCACTGAAATCTTTCATATATCCCAACAGATTCTCTAAAACCTTGGGTTTTTGGGGTCTTTTGAATAGTTTTATGTTTTTACTTGAAGGAGACCTTAACGAAGATATAAAATTTATCGATGGATGCTTATTATAGCTATTAATCTCATCTTATTTTTCCTTTATTATTTTTGCGGATAAAATATAATTAAAATTAATTTTTTAGATTTCCAACTTTCCAATCCAAATACTAAATCCGCAATTTTTAATTATGTCCGCAAAAATTGATCCACAAAAAAATTTAATCCGCAAATATTTACTTTCTCAACCATCCTTTTACATAAGTTGAGAGGAGAGGGGGGGGGGGATTGATTTACTCTTAAATATTTCTTTCTCTCTCAATATTGACAGCTTTAAATATTTTTATTTTTCTTTTTTACACAATTTTTAAATTCTAAAAAATATATAAAAATTATTATTGCAAAAAATTCTGAGTTTTTAGACAAAAAAGTTTTATTTAAAAATAATCAGAAATTAAAGTTTTCTGAAAATCAGCTTGGTCCCCCCTTTTTCTGATTTTTAAAAGCTTGTATTTCCCTTCAAAATTAAGTTAGAGAGCTGATTTTGGGGTCTTTTGAATCAGCTTTTTGAGCTCTTCCAATTGATACAGAAATCATTCTGATTCGAACAAAAATCTATTTAACGGAATTTTCCATTCTCCTCTACATATTTTGCTTTTATTTATTTATTTATTTATTTATTTATTGTCTGCATTTCTTAATTATAAAAACTAATCGAATAATCTATCTAATAAAAAGTGCATATAATTCTTTTGATAAATCGCGCGCATCCGCTTTTTAATGCATGTGAATGTAAATGGATTTTTTATAGCTTCGTCTAATTAAGAAATAAATAAAAAGATTTATCGGGAATAAATAAAAAGTAGTAACCATTTCCAGATCCGCACTCTCTCTATTATTTTCTGATTTTTAATTTTATTAATAAGAAAATTGCGGACAGAAAATGCGGACAAATTAACGTAGATAATATTTGCTTAAATATCAAGCAAATAAATAAACTTGAATTACAATTCACAAAATAAACTTATTTTACAATTTAAAAACTTGTTTTACAATTATGCATGTACATTTCTGAAAAATAAACTTAATTTATGTACATTACAATTCACAAAATAAAAACTTAGTTTACAATATGCAATAAAAAATAAACTTAAATATAAACCTAATTCACAAAACAGAAAATAAACTTGTAACTTGTTTTACAATCTCAAGTTTGTTTTACTTTATTTTGTAGTACTTTTTTGCGGAATAATTTTTGCAACCAATTTTTAATTTGCGGACAAAAATATTTAATTAAAATTTAAAATTTTACCAAAATTTTTAACAAAAAACTGAGCAAATAAAACAAATATTTTTTACTGATAATCAATCTTTTAAGGCATTCATTTCTCTCTCCTCAATTATTAATTTTGACTGTCGAACAAACAAAACTAAACGCGACCTCGGTCCAACCAACCAACCAACCCCCCCCCCCATCTATCTATCACCCCAACCCTTATCCAATTTCCTCTACAGTGCTGGTCAAAAGTATAGCCGCACCTGAAAAAACGGTGTAACTCCGGACTGAGTTAGCCAATTGTTATCAAATTTCGCAAAAAAATATTAGATTATATGAGAAAAATGATAATATTAAAAGTTTTTAAAATTATTAGAAGGAATTCGAAAAAAATCAAAATTTCCAAAAAATGGCAGAATTTTTACTGGTCAAAAGTATAGCCGCACTTTGGATTTTCATGTTTCTAATTATAGGAAAAATCTACAAAAATTTCACATAATATATTTATCGATACTAAGAAAAAATAAAAAAGAACTAGGCCCATATCTCATTTCAACTTCGAGATCTCGATACTCTGAAAATCAACGTAAATCAGGGGTAAGGCTCTTTAAAAAATATTTTCGACCCCTTATGGATTATTTTAAATTTTTATTTTAGGCTTATCTGAAAGCCCTTGAAATTTGCTACAAGGCACCAAAAATCTTATTTTTCAGAAAAAATTCCAAAGAGAGATACAGCCAGTTAAATTCCGAAGTGTCTTGAAAGGGTAATTTATGGGGCATTTGGGCGTTTTTTGGTGACATAGAAATTTAACTCTTAGTAACCAACCGAAATATTTTTTCTGAAAAATAAGATTTTTGGTACCTTGTAGAAAATTTCAAGGGCTTTCAGATAAGCCTAAAATAAAAATTTAAAATAATCCATAAGGGGTCGAAAATATTTTTTAAAGAGCCTTACCCCTGATTTACGTTGATTTTCAGAGTATCGAGATCTCGAAGTTGAAATGAGATATGGGCCTAGTTCTTTTTTATTTTTTCTTAGTATCGATAAATATATTATGTGAAATTTTTGTAGATTTTTCCTATAATTAGAAACATGAAAATCCAAAGTGCGGCTATACTTTTGACCAGTAAAAATTCTGCCATTTTTTGGAAATTTTGATTTTTTTTGAATTCCTTCTAATAATTTTAAAAACTTTTAATATTATCATGTTTCTCATATAATCTAATATTTTTTTGCGAAATTTGATAACAATTGGCTAACTCAGTCCGGAGTTACACCGTTTTTTCAGGTGCGGCTATACTTTTGACCAGCACTGTACTTTAATATACACATTTTCCCCATCATTTTCGCATTTCCCCCCTTTTTTTCTTTACTTTATAAAATCAATACCTTAACAAATAAAAAATCTTTTATTTGCCAGCTGCTCTCACGTGAGCGCGTAAACATAAGAAAAATGTTAAAACTGAGTAAGCCACATATTTAGGAGCGGCGCATGAAAGTTTGACTGTAGAAATGTACAGGTTTTTCATTTAAAAAGATTTTTCTTGAAGGATATTTAATTTTGAATTAAATTAAAATTGATAAAAAACGAGTTTTAGAATATATTTATTCTATTAATAGAAAACCGGAAAGTAATGTGCAATCCGGAAAAAATAAATAAACTTGAATTACAAATTAAAAGAATAAAGTTTTACAATTGTGGAGATAAAGACTTGCTTTTCCGGAAAGTAAAAATAAACTTTATTTACAATTATTAAAATAAACTTATTTTACAATTCTTACTACAAATCTCTCAACTATTTTTTATTTTAATTATTTTTACAATCCCCCCATTGTTTTTACTATTAAAAATATTTCAAGGTATTTTTTTAAAATTAAATTACCTATTTTATCATTTTTATTTTTATCTTCACTATTTACCTTCTCTCATTTTTTAGAAAATTTAATAAAATATTGGCGTCATATTTTTTTCTTTTATTTTACCCTAAAAACATCTTTTATTGTCTTCATTTCCCTAATACGCAAAACAAAAAAAAACAAAAAAAAGGCAGAATTTTACTGCATTTCAATGCCCGAGGCGCCATACAATTCAAACGGCTGTCACTTAATTATTGACCGATTATTTTAATAAAAATAAAATTGGAGGAATATTCAAAAGAAATAATTAAAAAAATAAAAATAACGAATAAAGGGAAAAGAGGAAAGAAGGAGGATATGGTGGAATCGGATAGATCAAATGTTTGTATGTTCCACTTGAGGAGGGTTCAATTCCAGGTAGGAAGAAAATATTAAGCTAAAATTATAATAACCGGAAAATAAACTTTAATATTTTATATTATTTTTCAAGACATATGTAAAAGAAAAAGGATGTCAGATTAATGATGCCATTGAACCAAGTCTTGAACCGGCAATTTTGGGGCGATCTACAATGATTTTGTAATTTTTTTTAAAACGTGGAAATCTTTGTTTAATTAAAAAAATTTTTTTAATTTTTATTTACTTTCCACATTTTTAATTTTAAAGACTGGACAAACAAACAAAAATAGGACGAAATCCTGAGTTGGTAGATGTTGTACTTCATTCTGTTGTTCACAGGTATTTGCAATTCTATTTTTAAATAAATACCCGGGTATTTACTAAAAATGATTTAAATTCGGAAAATATAGAAGAAACTTTTCTTTACAATCCGGAAAAGAATAAGCACTTTCTACGATCCGGGAAATGTAAATATATGTACATTTTTACATTCAGAAATAAAATCCTGAAAATGTGCATATCTCTCTCTCCCATTCTATTTACGATCTGGAATCTAAACTTGCAATTTTAAAATTTATTTTACAAAACAATTTGCAATTTTACATTTGTAAATATATACCTCTATCCAATCATTTATTTAGTAATATGATTTCTCGAGACCATTCTGAAATTATCGGTGTGACAGATGATAAAGGAAAATATGTTCGTTATCTCATTACAGATCGTTCATTAAATGGCACTTATGTTAATGATACTAGAGTGGGTTTTTAAAAATTAATTTTACTTTTTAATTAATTGAAGAAAATTAATTATAATTTTTACAAATCCGGGCAAGTTTTAATTATAATCCGGAGGAAAATAAACTTTAATATTTTACAATTGTAAATGAACCTGAAGTATTTTTCTTTCCGGAAAAGATTAACAAAGAGAAATTAAACATTATATTTACAATTTTAAATATTTACAAATCCGGAATAAAACAAACCTTTTCTATGATCCGGAAAATACAAATATACATTTTACAATTTAGAAATTACAATCCGGAAAATTATTTTTTCCTATTTTAATTATTCTCAATAATTTAATGATTTCATTCCCCTTTTTCACCTTCTTAAAGAAGGTGTTTATGAATAAATAAATTTCTATCAATATTGATAACACATAAAATTTATTAAGTTAACCCCTTAAAAATGTAAAAATAGTCTAAATAAAAATATATAATTACTGATTGAATGATTAAATTAGGTAGTTTATAGGGCTGGTGATTGGTTGATATATATTTTTAATGTGTTTATTATACACACACATTCCTCTCTGCTCTAATTATTTTTATCTCTTTTTTTTCTCTTCATTAATCATCATTAAAAATTTTATCTTTATTTGACATTTTTTTGATAATATTAATAATAATAATAAATTTAAAAAAATATATTTTTTGGTATGCTATCATGGGACGCCGACCCCTTTTTAGAGTTTATTTTATTCCTTTTTCCCTTTATGAACCTTGTTTTAATAAATATTTTAAAATGTAAAAAGTCTGGCGAATTTTAATATGTTTTACATAAATGATAAATAAAAAGGTAGATAGATGATTTAACTAAAGTACATATAAGTATATATATTTATATTTTAAACCTTTGAATTTTTAATATTTTTACAACCGGAAAAATATTAAATTTACAATCGAAAAATATATGTATATTATTTTTCAGTTATGAAAAATAAACTTATTTAAACTAGCAATTAATTTCATAACAGGAAAATATGTAAAATAAACTTTCCGGAAAATAAACTTTAAATTTACAACCGGAAAACTTTTCAGAGATAAAATAAACTTTTTACAATTATCCGGAAAATATTTAAGTGAAAATTATTAAAATAGAATAAACTTTCCGGAAAATTAACTTCCGGTTAATTACTTTCCGGATAATTGTAACAAGTTTATTTTATCTCTGAAAAGTTTTCCGGTTGTAAATTTAATAAATAAATTTACAATAGGGAAAATAAATTACAATCTTAAAACAAATCTTTTACAACATGAAAGAAACTTTAATAACAAATAAATTTTATTTTAATTATAAATTCAAATATTTTTATGATTTTTGATTTATTTTTAAATAAATGTCCACCCCAAAAATATATTTATTTATCGCAATTTATTTTTATTTATTTTTTCTTGCATTTATCTACCCACCCCTTTTCTTTAATCTCTCTACTCTGTCTAGTGGATATTTTATCTTTTTATTAATCTCTTGACCAATCACCAATTCTTTTCAAAAATTGAGTGATTAAAATTGAGAAAGAATATTTTAAATAAAATTAATTTTTAGGTGAATATACAGCAACAACTTAAAGAAGGAGATTTAATTAAATTTGGACATGTGAATGGGGCCGCTATCAAGGTGAGGAAGGGGGGGGGATTATTTTCTAAAATATTTTTTAAAAATTTTATTTATAACTAAAAATAATTTTAACAATTTTAACAATTTTAGTGTCACGTTAAAAATTTAATATTTGGACATTAAACTTTATAGTCAAAAAAAATTTTTTTTTAATTTTTCTGAAAAGGTGTGAAGATTGTCTGTTTTAATTATCTTTAAATTAAATTTTTGTGTTTATCTCAATTATTTTATTTTTAATTTTTCAGGCTGGTGAGTACGCTCCCCAACAATCTGCGGAGTTTATTTTTCGTTTTGAAAGGGCACTCTCGAATTACAACGTAAAAATTTATATTTTTTAAATTAATTTTATTAGAGACATTTATTAAAATTAATTTGAAAATCAAAATTAATTTAAGGAGATTTAAAACTTTGAAATTATTTTTATAGTATTTTGGCTACTCGAAAAAGCGTGTGCGTGTACAGAGTGACCAAAAGAGAGCGTATATGCAGGTAAATTATAAACTTAAACTTTAAATTGTAAAAATAAATAATAATAAAACTTGTAATTGTAATTGGACATAGGAGTGTAAAATAAATTAAGCTTGGATTAATTGTAAAACTTGAGCATAGTGTTGTAAAAATAGACAAAACTTGAATTTGTAAAACTTGATTCAATTGTAAAATAAACTTGGATTCTAATTGTAAAACTTTAGCATACTAAGAGTTGTAAAAATAAACTTTAAATTTATTACAATTTTAACTTGTTTTATTTTACAATCTGAATTTTACTTAAATTTCCCTTTAACAGATCAACTCAGACCTTGTTGTTCCAACAGAGGTCTATTCCTGTGTTGCTGTACCCAAAGCTTTACCTCCTTCGTCTGGCACTGTCTCTGGTCCTTCAGCATCTTCTATGAATGCAACTGTGCCTGCTTCAACAGTTCCTGTCGCTCCTGACAGTACAACGAATAATTCAGGCGCTCCAGTTGTTGTTGTTCCTCCGACTGTGGTAAAGTTATTAAATAATTTGAAATTATAATTTATGTAGTTGACAGAAATATAGATTATAATTGTATATTTAATAGTTAAATAAACTTGGATTTGTAATTGTAAGTAGTTGAAAATGCTGATTATTTAAATAAACTTAGATTTGGTTTACAAACTTACTTTGAAAATGCTGAATTTTATTTTTAATTAAAACCTGGATTTGTAATTTTAAAGTTATTTTACAAACTTGAGATAGTAATTTGTAATTTTAAACTTATTTTACAAACTTGAGATTGTAAAATATTTAAACCTTAAAGTGTTATTTTTACCAACAAAACCTTATATACAAGTCATGTGCCAATATAATTTTTTTATTTTTTAATTAAATAGCTCTCCACTCCCTCATCCATTTCTGCCACCATTCCTGTCACTTGCAATATTAGTCATAACGGCATTAATGGTTTTACTGGCACAAATTCCCTGCCAAACTCAGCCCAAATACAAAACAACGCCTCCACACAACAAAACCATCAACAGCAACAATTGGCACATTTGGCTGCCTTCGCTGCAGCAACAACGGCAGTTACTAATGCACAGCAACAACACTCTTCCTCTACTGCCAATTCCCTTGGAGGAACGACATCAACACTTAATAATTCCCAACAACGTAATCAACAAATAACGACGAATAACAACCACCACCACCAACAGCAGCAGCAGGCATTAAATGCTTTGAATCAACTAGGCCTGGGAACTGTTACAGCTGCTACTAATGAAGAGCAGGTGACTAATTTTCTATTTAAAAAATAATATTTTAATACGTGGTGTGTGGGAAAATTAAAGTATAATTAATATTAAAAAGTTGTTGACTTTAAGTTAATGTTTTAAAAGTTAATTAATGTCTTCTAAGACAAATTAATTACATTTTATTTTAATCTTTGATCAAGTTTATTTATTGTTGCAAACTTGAAATTAAAAGCAAGTTTATTTTCTGATTGTAAACTTAAGTTTTATTTTGTTTTTACAAACCTTTTACAAACTTACAAGCAACAAGTTTATTTATTGTTGTAAACTTGAAACCAAGTTTACTTCCAAGTTTATTTTCTACAGAATTGTAAATTTCAAGTTTATTTTATTTTCAAGTTTACAATTATATAATTAAAAATTTATTTCCCCCTTCAATTACTTAATTTTCTAAAGATAAATGCCCAACTACGTTCTTTAATGGCCTCTCATGATGCAATGTCAGCAATGGAAAGGCTAACTGCTCAACAACAATTTCAAAAATCTTTGCTTAATTTAAACTCTTTACAACAGCAAAACCCTCTAATGTATGGACATGCTCTTCAATCAGCCGCTGCTGCTGTAGCCGCTTCTTTCTTATCTGCTGGATTTGGAGGAGGAATAGGTAACTAATATCGAAACAAATAACTTGTAAAATTCCCAAACTTGCACAGATATCAACGCCGCCGCAGCAGCCAATCCAACAGCAGTACAGCAATATGCTGCAGCCGCCTCACTTTGGCCAAATATCCGCGCCGCCCCCTTACAGCCTGCGGCGCAAGACTGGACCCAACAACAACAACAAAAAGCAGCATCAATCGCTCATCAATTACAACTTCGTTTACCTGTGTCGCTTTATCAGCCACAAGCGCAGGTATTTTTACAATTTTTCCTTTAGATTACAATTTGTAAATTTCAAGTTTATTTTTGAGTCGTAAAATAAGTTTGTTTTTCAGAATTGCAATTCAAGTTTATTTTATAATTGTAAAACAATTTGTAAACTTAAGTATTTTTAATAACCAAACTTGACAGTTTCAAGTTTATTTTTTCCATTAATTTAGCAGCAATCTCAACAAAATCAGCTTGCTGCTGCCACAGTTGGACAGGCGAGAGCTGCTTCAGCATCTTCTGTTACCGTTGCATCCTCATTATTTGGGGCACCTTCTGCTTTCTCTTTACCTTCACAACAACCAACGGCCGCATCTGTCCCCCCTCATAGTACAACAACAAATAATCTAGCAGCAACTTCTGCTGCAGCGGCTGCCGGTCTTCTAGTTACAGCACAACCCAGCCAAAATCAATTTTCGAATATTTCAAATGCTTCGGCTGCCTATTCCTCATGTACATCTTCAAATACTGCAAACCACCCTTCAATGTTAGGCTTTAGGCCGAGTGCCGGAGTAACACCTCTTTCACGTGGTGCTTCCTCTTCCTCATTAACGCCTCCAACAACTAGCTCTACACAACTAAATATTGAACAAGTTGCTGCTAAAGGTGAATAAATTAATTTTCCCTCAAAATTGATAAATTTTTAAGTTGCTACTTCCAATGGATGGCCAAATATTGGAGAGGGTTTTCCAGCTTCGAGTAAAGTATCGCCTATATTAGCTGTTGCTGCTGCGGCTGCAGCAAGAGGGAATGGGGCTACCTCAACCCCTAATGACTTACAGAGGATACCAGGTGAATTTTGAGAAGAAATTTTTATTTAGTTGTAATTTTATTTAGACTTTATCAAGTTTTATTTTAGAAATAGCCTCTGCATTAGCCGCCGCAATTTCCGCAGCCCAGCAACAACAACAACATCAGGCAAACAATAACGATTCTACTACTTCTATAAATATTCCAATTTCTGTTGCTACTTCCTCATCAAGGGGAACTCCTTCCTCTATTTCAGTAACCCCTTCATTACAACATTCCTTAGCCCAACGGTTTTCTACCCCAATTAGCTCCTCTAATAATTTAAACAATTCAACAACACCTTCAATAAATGGTGGTGCTAGTAATTTCTCTTCTTCCTCTGGCTTCTCCTCGGCGGCATCTTCGTCTTTGCTTCAATCTCCTAGCGCGATTCCGGCTACAAGACATCAATACGAACCGATGGCTAGTACTTCTAAGGTACAAACTTTAAGTTTACAATTCTTGTTTTACAATTTTTGTTTTCCCTGCCAAGTTTAATAAGTTGTAATTTTATTCTACAGCTTACAATTATACTTTTACAATTACATATTTATTTTTAAAGGATTCTCTGAGTTCTCCACTTTCTTCGTTAAACAGTTCCGGTGCTTCTAGTGCCTTCTCCACACCAGCACAACAACATCAAAATAATAACATAACCAATTTAAGTACATTAACTACTGCATTGTTTGCAGCAGATAAAGTGGTTGGTGGAAACAAATCAACAAAAGATTTACAATTACCACAAAATTTGTTGAATAGGAGATTAAGTGGAAGCAGATCATGTGAAGGCACTAATGTTGCTGAAGGGGTATTTTCGATTTTTTTAAACTTAAGGATAACCTCAAAAAATGAAAATATTTTAATCCGAAAGTTGATTTGCGGACAAAAAATTTTTTGGACAAAAATTGCAGATTTTTCCATTATAACAAGAACTACAGAAATACAAATTTGTCCTAATATTTTTTTCTTTAAGAAAAATCAACAAATCCCTTCAACAGATAACGAGCCACAAAATTCACTCATATCCCTCTCAGATAATTCAACAACAAAGGCAATAGTATCATCACAACCATCATCACCCCAACAAAAACTTAATAATAATGCAACAACAGTAGATGAATCCAAAATGACAAGGCTTATGGAATGTGATAGTTCTGTCCCATCCCCTCCCTCCAAAAGAGAAGATGATGATGAGAGGGAAGAAGATTTGGATAAAAAAGAAAGGAGGGGGGAAGATATTAAAAAGACAGATGACGAAAATGAACGTATGGACACGGAAGGTACGAAAATAGCTTATATAAAAATGTCCGCAAAGCGATCTGCGGTCAAAAAATTTTTTGCGGACAAAACTTGCGGATTTATTTCATTAACGGAAAATTCAAAAAAAATATAATTTTCTGATTTTAATAAAAATATAATTTTTTAGCAGGTGAAATTTTCCGAAAAAGGCATTCTACTTCTACCAGTCTAAAATCTGACGGATCATCAAAACCCCCGGCAAAACATGCTAGAAAAAGTAATGAAGTTGCAAGGCTACTTAACGATTTGACTGCCGGAAATTGTAAGTTTAAAGAAATTTAACTTTATTTAAAAAATAATGTCGAATCTCCTTTTAAAATGGGATTGAGAAATGGTTCTTATAAAAAAGTGTAGCTTAAATGAAGTGGTATCGGTTATGTAGCTCCCAAATCCCGTATCTTTAAACCTAACCAGGAAAAGATATCTTAGACAGGATAATATCTAAAGTAAGAAAGAGTTGAAAGTTTAGACCCGGGCAGGATCCTGCTTCTGTTAACCACGCTAGTAAGCTAGTTGAGCTACTCTGGCGATGAAATACTAAATCTCCTTCTTCCTTACACTAGTATTGAGGTTATTCAAAAATGAGGTTTTCTATTATAATATTTTTTTTCAAAGTTTACGAAGGTTGTCAAAGTCGTCGAAAAACTTTGGAATATAGAAAAATAGAGAATTTAAAAATTAGGAAAAATAATAATGAAAATAAAGGTTGGAATGATGAAAAAATGTGGTTAAGAATGCCTAGAGTAGTTAAAAATGAATTTTGTTGTCTACCCAGGGAAAATACTTTTAAAATTTATAAAGAAATTGATGAAATAATTGATGAGGATGATGAAGATTCCTATTATTCATCATCTTCATCTGATTCTCAAACGAGTGGATTAATTGATTTTGAAAGAGATTGTGATGAAAAGGGTAAGGGAAGATTCGTAATGGTTAGAGTTTAAATTTTGTTTAAACGCGGTTTTTTGGCGTTCTGTTTGGCTTCGGGTTTTTTTGTCATTTTCTCTTTTGTTATTTAAGGCGAAAGAAATAAGGGAAGATTTTAAAAATGCCTACAGGAAAAATGGCATTTTTACGTTTTCTGACCTAATTTTCTTTAACTTTTACTTGAGTTTCCCAAGTTTTAGGGGCATTTTTTATTTTTCCCCCTTCTTCCCTTTTGTTTTTTGCTTTTGGCAAATAATGTAAATCAAAAAAGGATTAGTTTAAAGTGTTAGTATATAAGTGATCTAAATATGTGGAGTATACATATTCACTTTCTCATTCAAATTTTTCTTTTTATTGACATTCTAATTTCAGATTTCATTTATTAAATTCTTAAAGGTTCTTGGCAATATATGGCAGAGCGACAACAAAAATCTATTCTCAAAGGAAAGGATAAGGTTTCCAAAGAAAAGGTGGACAAAAATGTGGACAAAAAGAAGCCTCCATTGAGATTGGACGAACGCAAACAGCTTAAAATCAACAAGAATAAGAGACACAAAATGCTTCATCAAATTAGTGATGAGAGCAGTGATGAAAGTGGTGATGAAAAAGTAGTTGAAAGTGGTGATGAGTCTGTTGATGAGCACGAGGAGGTTGCTTCTGCTGTTCCGCCCAGGCGTATTGATAGTGATACTGGCGTGGAGAAGAAACAGGTTTTTTTGGGTTTTAAATTATGAAAAAACGTGGGCCGATCTGGTACATTTAACCTTGGTCAATCTTTTATCTTTAGATCTAGGATGAATACGGGCAAACCCCCCCCCCCCCCCCCCCCCCAACTCGATCTCTATTTTCAATATGTAAAAATCAATATTTTTAAGATTATTAATAAGTCAGCCACTTCTGATGAAATTTCTGACCTCTCTCTTGCGACTTACTATTTGATGAATGAGTCTGAATGCAAAAGACTGAGCGATGCGGATACTGATGAAACTGTAAAAATTTTTTTCTAAATTTTATCAAAATTCTGACAATTTTTTAGAAGAAGATCGTTAAAAGCGTTCGTGAAAAATATGGACCAGAAAAGAAAACTGAGGTTGACAAAGATTCTGAAAAAGAAGAGGACGATGAGGAAGATGTTTCGGATAACAAAGTTCTTCAGCCTCCGCAACCTCGTAAACATCAGCCTGTCCCTCCTACAAAAAGAACTCCAGCAGCTCCTTCAAAAATGGCTAAAGTTGTTAAGGCTAAGGAAAATAAATCTGTTGCTGCTACTTCTACTAAAGTTGCTGGGAAGAAAAATGCTGTGGTATGATTTTACTCTTTGTTGGGTAATTACCTCCTTTTTATGATGTCCTACCTGTAGTAAGAATGGCCACTTTATTTTTATTGGGGCAGGCTGTCTACCACATTTTGACATTGCTAATAAGCGTAAAAATTATATCCGTTCTTAAATTCTTTTCTACAAAAATTAGAAAATTAAAGAATTTATTTAAAATTTTTAAGGAGAAGAATACAACCACGACCAAAACAACGGCTAAAGACAAGGAAAAACCAACTGCAACAACCACACGTGGTCGTAAGCCAAAGAAGCAACAAGAACAGGAGGATAATGAAGAGGAGAATGATGGAAATGTTGTTGTTACCGAAAAGGAAACTAAGGGGCGTTCCAGAGGTGGTTCTAAACAAGGTTCATATTTTTTGAATTTTTTTAAATAAATTTTCTAGCTGTTGAACGTGCAAAAGATGTTGGAAACAAGAAAGAACGTAAAGCAACAACAACAGTAAAGACTACAACCACCAAAAAAGCCAAAAAGAAGGTTTCAACATCTGAAGATTCTGACGACAATGATAATAATACAACTTTTGATGAGGAAGCTGATGACTCGACAGTAATGGAAGATTGGACTGGTGGTGAAGGGGATCCGGAACTTTGTCAACTTGCAAGTTGTAAACGTCCAAAGGATATGAAAATTAATTGGGTGGCTTGTGATGGTTGTGATAAGGTTTAGATTAATTTTTTTGAGAGGGGACTTGTAGGGAGATTTTGGATCTTAAGACAATTTTATTCCATGTCTTTTTTGGGAAAATTTCGCATCTTTAATTTTTTTTAACCGAGCTTAAATTATGTATAACCCTATTTTTAGAAATGATTTTTTGGAAATTTATGTTTAATTTTTCTGTAATTCTTTTATAATCTTTTTTATTTTTAAGTGGTTCCATACTATTTGCATTCTTGGAAAGAATATTAATCTTGACGATGTTGCTAAATGGTATTGTACTAACTGTAAAGATGACAATATTAATGTTGATGATGTTAATGAGGAAGTTGATGATGATGAGGGGGATATGAGTAATTAATTAGAAAATAAATTTCTTTTTTTTTGAGTTTCATTCCAGACAATTAAATAAAAAAAGTGTTAAATTAGGCGGCCGGACCTCATTTTTGTATACCTCTTCTCTTTTCTAAAATTTGATTGGGGTTAATGGGCTTGGGAGAGACACACCAGAAGCTGCATTTTTTCAACCCCAAGAGGGATATTTAAAAATGAGGTTCGGCCATATAAAGAAACAAGTTCAAAAAATATTTAGGACCTCATTGAGGATTATTAATTCTCTCCTCATTTTATTCCAAAAAATAAAAATTGTAAAGTCTTGGATTGTATAGATAAATTGTCCCTTTTGACTGGTAAATAAATTTACATAAATATTATAGTGCTTGACACAAAATTATTTTCCTCTTTCTTGACCCCTCTCTTTTACATTATAAAATGTACCTATTATTTTATTCTGATTTTTAAATAAAAATATAAAACTGTTTTTCTTTTGGTAATTCTGAAAAGTTTTAATTCTTTAAAAAATAATTCTGATTTGTAAAACTTTTTTTACAATTTGTAAAACTTTATTTTGCTTCAGAAAAAAGTTTGTTTCTTTATTTTGTAAAATAATTACAATTTGTAAACTACAAAGTTTATTTTATTCTGATTTGTAAAAATTAAAACTTTTTTTTACAATTGTAAATATATTTAGTTATATGCATACCTATTGTGTTTATTGTGTTCCTTTTTTATTTATTAGTTTTTCTCGAATTACAATTTTGTGGGAATTGCTTTTTTACATACACAAGCGATAAATTGAGGATTATTAATTCTTAAATAATTCTTTTTAGTTTTAAAAAACAATTTTTTACTTTTTTATTTATTTATAAGGACTTGAATATTTAATTATCGGGTTTTTAATGTTGGGTATTAAAATTATGGATTTAAAAAATATTTTAAATTTTCAATAAGTATATTCAGCTTTAAAATTTTTTGCCATCACCCCATACTGATTATTAGCAACACAAGCATATATCTAAAAAAGGGGATTTTTAAAAAAAACAATTTTTAATTTTTTACTCCTTGGTCACCCATTGTTGCTGGGTCAATTTCCAATTTACTCTAAAAAATAATAAAAAAATAATTCTTTACAAAAACAAACCCAAATTTTATTTTTGCTTAAAGGTTTTTCATAATAATGAACATTTGGTTTTGGTTGCATTTCTGCACCTTCTTTATACCATTTAATCATTGGACGGGGTTCTCCATAAGCTTTACAAATTAATCTGAAATTTAAAAAACATTTTACAATTCTGGTTTTTAAAACTTGTTCTTTTACAATTTGTAAATTGTAAAACTACTCAGAAAAAAGTTTATTTTTTCAGTTTTGTAAAACTTTTACAATTTGTAAATTACAATTATTCTAATTTGTAAAACTTGTTTTTTACAATTTGTAGATTGTAAAACTTTATTTTGTAACTTCTAAAACATTTGTAAAAACAACCTCAATTTAAAGCCAAGCCTGAAAATTTGACTAAAGTGAGAGCCAGTGATAATTTGGGCGCTCTAAAAAATATGTAATTTTCTTTTAAATATTTAAAATTACTCTACTCTATTATCAGGCAATTGAGAAGAAATTAAACTAAATTCAGCAACTTGAGCGAATTGAAGATTTGTTTTTCCACGTCCTTTCCCTCCACGCCGACCTCCTCTTGCTTCAACATTTGTAAATAAAATTAGGGCAGAAATAAAAATGGAGAATAAAAGAGGAGAAGTAGAAGAAGAAGAAAACATTGAGTTGGGAACAAATTGTCAGAATACAAATGTAAGTAAAATTACAATTGTGATTTTTACATCAGAATTACAATTTGTAATTTTTATTTTAAGCAGTATATACCAGAATTTATCAGAATTACAATTTCGATCAGAATTATTAAATAATACCAGAATTATTTAAATACCAGAATTAAATATCAGAATTACAATTTGTAATTTTCTGGTTTCAAAACATTTTTAAAATCAGAATATTTTCAGAATTAAACTTTATTTTTTAGCAAAAACTTCAACAAAAACAAATGTTAAAGCTTTTTGAATGGCTTCGAAATTTGACTCCTTTACAAAGAGAAAAAGTGCTTTGCTTCTTGGCTATAGGTTTTAAGCGTTATGCCGCTCAATTTATTAATGGATTAGAAGAGAGGTGGGGAAATTGTTAAGGCGATCGATTTTTTATTTAAAGGGGATAAATCAGAATTTAGTAAATAATGACCAGAAATAAAATCAGAATTATTAAAAATAAAATCAGAATTTGGTCAGAATTACCTATGAAATATTCAGAATTTTATCAGAATCACCCCTAAAATGATCAGAATTAAATCAGAATAATTCTAAAAAATCAGAACTTAACCAGAATTACTTCTGAAATAATCAGAATTACTTCAAAAAATAATCAGAATTTTATTAAAATCTAAAAGAAACCTCTAAAACAATCAGAATTTTATCAGAATTATTTTATTAATCAGAATTAAATTACTATTTAAATATTTAGGCACACAAATAGAAAAAATCATCGAAATATTTCAACTAAACATAACAATTTATCAATTTATTTGGCACTTCAATTAAAGAAAAATGCTTTCCTTTTTTCTTCTCAACAAAGTTTATTTTTAATTATTTTATTTAAATATTATAATTTTTTCTAAAGAAATCTTGCCTCGTTCGCCTCCTTTTAATTGCCCAAAATGTGGATTTTCTTCGAGAAGGTTACGCCCAGTTATGAGACATTTATGTACGAGACGTGCACATGAATATAAAAATGGTTTTGTTTAAATATTATAAATGATGCTGAATTTTTTTAAATTTTTTTTTGAAATCTTCTGATTTTTTGAAATTAAAAAATTCGAATTTTCAAAATTTTTCTGATTAAAAAAATTTCTTTCTAGTTATTCATACAGCTACTTTGGGTTTTCGAAGTCGTTGCCGTGATGCTTTGGCAATTATGGAACGTATTCCCTATCCACAAAGAATTAAATATTTGGAAAACGATGAAAAGGAAAAAGAATTGTTTTTACTAGTTTCTAATAAATTAAAGCAACCAAAGACGCTTCGGTAATGAGTTTTTTATTTAAGGTTTAACCACATTTTTGGATACACCCTTGGAATTATGCCTAAAATAGATTGTTTGTTTTTAGGCTAACCAGGGATGCGTTGGGTTGGGAAAAAATCGTGTAGGCTCTAGGGTCGGATTTTCAAATTTTTTAGGATCTTGTTTCGGGTGGCTCCAACCACTCACTAGCCAAAAAATTTTTAAAAGACCGGATCTTAAATTGAAGTTTATTTGGTTCAAGTGATCTCTAACTTTAAAATTTACCGAATAAGAGGGAATGAGATAAGAATTTTTAAATTTAAGATAGAAAATAGAAAACGTAGACCTACAAACTTGGTTAGAAAAATATAGTAGTAAAAAATTTTTCTTTGAAAATTTTATTTTCTGTTTAAATTCAAGCTGAAATAAAATAAAGTCCAGAATTTAAATTATCTTTACTTTTTAATTAAATGTTAAGAGAAATTGCCGGAAATTTTGTCCACAATTTGTTTGGCTTGGATAACACTAATTGCATTTTTGTTGAAACAAATTCATTTTGGTGTCAGGGAAAAGTATCTTTATCTTCATTGACAACTTCAACGACAGAAGAAGAGGTGGAAGAGGAGGGAAACGAAAAGGAAGAGGATGAAGAAAATGAAGAAGAACATATTGGGGTTGAGGGAGGAAAGGAAATGGAAGAAGAAAGGAGGGAGGAAGAGAAGGAAGATATAAATGAAGCAAGGGAGGAGGAAGGAATGGAAGTAGTAAATGAAGAAGGGAAGGAAGAAGCAAAGTTTGGAAACGAAAATAATGAAAAAGAAAAACAACAAAATCCTCAAACCTATTCTGATGGAAATGCTTATTTTTGTCGAATGTGTGCTCATCTATTTGGTCAAAAAAGTGATTGGACTAGTCATTTATGTAATAATAAATACTTGAAAAATGATGAAGAAAAAGAACCTTTGGAAATTCAGGTAAAGGAGGGGCTAATTCTGATTTAAATAATTACAAATTGTAAAATTTTTACAATCAGAATTTAGGTAAAAATCAGTGTTAAAATTAAAAATCAGAATTTTTGCATTAAAACAGAATCAGAACTAAATATATTGTAATTACAAATTGTAAAAATCAGAATTTTTTAAAATCAGAATCACAAGCCTTTATTTTTTATTACAATTAATTTTCAGAATTACAAATTTCTGAATTCCAATTACAAATCAGAATTTATATTTATTTAATTATAGGTAGACTTGGAAGAGCAATTCCCCACTTCTGGTTCCTTTATTCCTTCTTATTCAAAACTTGATTTTTTAAATAAAACAAATTGTGAATCAACAACAATGTCTGCTTCTGTCTGTACAAAATGTTTTGAAACAAATTTTGCTTCACGTTCAGAATTTCATGAACATTTATTTAAATGTGCTCTTTCTGATACAAATTAATTTTTATTTTTTTTTTCCCGAAATTAATTTTTAATTAATAAAAATAATTTTTTTTATAAATCTATATGTGAAGTCTCTCCAATTAATTGGGATTAACTCTAAATATCAATACCTAGAATATTCGGTCTTTTAACCCCTTTTAGCCGTTCCGGTCTTTTAGCGCATCTGTCTTTTGTACCGACACGGATTTGCTGTGATTTGATTTAAATTCGGATTTTTTTGTTTTATTGTGCCTACAAGTATTTTTATTCTCAATTTAGGTAATATGGATAAAATAAAAATAAAAAGTTCATTTCTTAAATTATCTGGTTATGAATTCAAAATTGCTGTTGATAAAGATATTGAATTGTCTACCGAATTTTTAACGTTACCTGTTGATACTGGAAAAGAAACAATTCTGGGTTCACTTTCTTTCAAAAATGTCATCAAAGTGGAGGTTTTCTGTTTTTCCTTATTTTTTTTTTAAATTCCTTAGTTGCTGGATAATTCTGAACAGAAGGGAGCTGGTTTAGTTCTTCATGTAAATAATTATATGATGAGAAAACTTCAACAATACTTGGTGCCGGGAAGTAATAAATTGATGGATTACAAGTCTTCATATTCACAAAATAAGTAAGCCTAGAATTTCTTTAGAATTGATTAAATATTTAACGGATTTATTCTAATAGAAACACTGGGGGTTCTATTGTCTACCGATCAACAGCAGGTCGATAATTTTTTCTATTTTTCAACCCCTCCTGTTTGGGTGTGTTTCTAATAGAGACAGTAGTTTTATTAAAATAAATTCGGTAGGTTACGTTTTTGGACACTATCTGAAAGGAGGTGCCCAATTCTATTTTTCCTTATTTCCTTGCATTAACTCGAAATAGTCCTTTTTTACTTGGCATTTGATGTTTGTTGATTTTTGCCGAAGGATTTCTTTATCAAATTTCGTAAGAGCAGCATTCTTCTGAATAGAAACACTAGTGGTAGTGGTTCTACTTTCTTTCAAATAAGGCCCGTTTCTACTAGAGTAGAGCAAAGCCATTAACAGTTCCCCCGGTTAACGTAACCGTAAGCGGTAAATCGGTTTTGCTCTACTCTGGTTTTTACATTCTTTTACTTTTTTCTATTCGAATCATTATGAACTTTGATATTTAGGCTTATCGTATTTGACATTCAAAACTGCGGTCACGAGGAAATGCACAATATTCGTTTAATTCTCGCAAGCATTTCTCGACACAATTATATTGCACAGCAAACAAAAAAACAAAATAATAAATCTCAATTGGGATCCAATCCTACCAATTCAGTTCAGTTTGTCGGTTAGTCGCAATTTTTGTTTTTTTATTATTTTTTTTAATTTAAGAATTAATTTCCCACAACCAATGGTCAGTTCTTGTAAGTATGCTGGCTAATCCAGGTTTTTATAAATTAGAATAAAAAATATACTTAATTAAAAAATTTTCAGGGCTTATTCTCATAAAATATGGGTGACCACATCAACTTAAACCTCCATAATTAATTGTACTGAAAGAAGATTTTATATTCTGCTCCTATTGCTGAAAGTAAACATGTTACTGAACATTTAAAGTGGATTTATAAATGATTGTGTCTCTTATGTCTTTCTGATAGAGAAAATTTTTTTGAAATATTTTTTTAATTAAATTTTGAATTACTGATAAAAGATTTTTTTATCAGAAAATAGATCTTTTGTGAAATTTAAGTGAAATAAGTAGTCTCTAATTAACAGAAAATGACACAATGTTAAGCAAGAAGGGAAATTTAGCTGGCTAGCATTTAAAACGCTTACTAGTCTGAGATTTAAAATTTGTTAAAGGAGAAGTTGAAAGCAGAGCCCCTATAGTAGTTCAGTCAGTAGAGCATCTGTACGTTGTGAGAGAAAGCAACCTAGCAATAACTGTTAGGAGGTTGCAGGATCGATGTCTGCTCGATACCTTTACCTCGCCAAGAAATTCTCCTACTCACACACACACCCAATTATATTTGTTTTGTTTGTGAATAATATTTTTCTTTTAATTTGTTTCGAATAATAAATTTTGTTTAGGTAGACTTGATTTGTTAAGTTTTGTATTTGTTATTTGATTTTGTGTTAGGTTTTTTGAATTGCTATTTTTTATATTTAGCGATATGGATATATTTAATACTAATGTGAATAAAATAAAAATAAAGAATTCATTTCTTCTAATATCAAATTGTCTTACATGCAAAATTGTTGCTAAAAAGAATACTGATATTGAATTATCAAGCGAATTTCTTATGTTACCTGTTGATAATGGGCACAAGAAACTTTCTTTCAAACATGTTATCCATGTGGAGGTTTTCCTTTTCTTTTTAAAATTCTTTAAACTGGTGATGCGACATTAGCGGCCCGTACACACCCAGACACCGCAAGTGTCAAAATAGGTGCGAGCCGCAAGTGTCGGGGCCGCAAAAGTCGGCCAATCCCTTAAAATTATAATAGTTTATGGATAATTCTGAACAAAAGGGAGCTGGTTTGGCTATTCATGTTGATGGTTTTATATTGGCACAAATTAAACAATTCTATGCGGAGGAAAGAAGTAAAACAATGGATTACAGAGGTTTAAGCTCGCGACCAAAGTAGGTCTAAGATTTTAAGCTAGCTTTAGAACCGATTAAATATTGGGTGCATTTTTGCTCTTTTCTGTTCGAATCGCTATAAAAATACATATTTAGTCTTATCGTGTTTGACATTCTTAACTACAACGACATGCAGCATATTCGTCAAATTCTTAACAATGCAAGTATCTTTCATCACAATTATTTGCAGGAAACGAATAAATACCGTTTTGGAATGAGTAACAAACAGAGATATAAAGAATTAGTGGGTGTGTTAGTATAATCTTTATTCTTCTTATTATTTTTTTTAAATTTTAGAATTAATTGCATACCGAGATTGGTCATTTTATCTACATAACTTAGGTTTCTATAATTTACTAAATATTTTTTAATTAGCAAATCTTCTCAGGGTTCATTCCTCCCATAGATCACCCATCACAACATACTCCGATAATTCCAAGAATGCAAAATGATCAATGGGTGGTCAACGATGAATTACAAACGTTCGTCAAGGCTGATCAGAAATTAAATAATAGTTTTGATACTATTCAAGAACAACCAAACTATCTCATACAGCAACGTCCAATTACACCTCCATACTAAATTGTATTGAAGGAAGAAGCTTTACATATTCTGTTCCTATTGTTAAAATTAAATTTGTTAAAAAATCCTCAACATTTTAAACAATGGATTTATAGATATCGGGGATCCTGCCATCCCGATTTCCCAAAATCGGGAATTTTGTTTTTTTTTGTCGGCAGGATTCTTGATAGATATAATCTCTGCTACATGTATACTAGCAAGTTAGGTCAGGTTTTCGGCAGTGCTCGGATGCTCGTACCAAAATTCTTACTTGTTTAAAATTAGTACCCATAAGTACCAACAAAAATAAAAATTTTAAAAAGTACGAGGACAAAAATAGGGGTGGTACGAAGTACAATCACGAGTACGAATTCGCTAGTAACTTATTTTAATTTTCTTTTTCTGTTGAAATATTTTTTTAAAAATTAATTTTTAATTAAATAAAAATCTTTTTGTCAGAAAATTCAATTCTTTATAAAATGATTGTTAAATGAAATAAGCATTCTCCCCCAATTAATTAACAAAATGACACAATGTTTACACTTTAAAATCAATTTTATATTAAACTTTCCTTTGTGTCTAAAAAATATTTGGGACAAGAGAAATTTTAATTAATCGATTTCCAACGGCTATACAATTCTCGAGAAGAACTGATAAAATGAAAAAAAAATATTAAAAAAAAATTGGGGTAATCAAAGCCAAATGCTTTTTTAATAAATAAAAGAGGTTTATGTAAGAGAAAAGTAAAAGAAAACATTAATAGGGCTAAATAATTGGTTATAAACATTTACTCTCTTTTAATTTCTCTTCAAATGTGTTCCTAATTATTGAAACTTTTTTTTCTTCTAAATTTTTCATTTGATTGATTTGTGTAAGGTTTTTTCTACCAGATATTGATATTTTAATTCTTAATTATAATTTAAAAAATTCTGATAATCAGAATTTTTAATTAAAGACCAGTATTACTAACTAGAACCGGAAAATCGAACTTTCGGGATCCCGAGACGGGATTTTTTTCTTAACCGGGATCCCTAGGGATAAATCGCGAAACTAAAAAATCCGGGATTTCGGGATCCCGGAAAATCCCGTCAGGATCCCGTCCCGCGCCGGTCTCTATTACTAACATGCCTTTCTATTACAATTAATATTCAGAATTAAAAATCAGAATTTTTAAATTACAATTAAAAACCAGAATTTAGCTTTCCTGATTTCGAATTTTCTTTAATTGTAAAATTTTATTAATTTGAAAAGATTATTGAATGATTCAAACAGAAATACCCAATGATGAAACAATAGTAGTTCATTTAGACCATTTAAACACCTATCCTATTAATAATGAGCATCAAATGGAAACAATTCCAGAAGTGGTATTGCAACCATTATATGTTCAGGTGTTTTAGAAATATTTTTTGAAAAGCATGTCCCCAAATTTAGAGTGAATTTGACCTTCGGACGGTTGAAATTGGGGCGGAAACAGCAAAGCTTGTATCTCCTACTTTGGTTTATTTAATTAAAGAAATGCCTAAAAGAATATATTTTCTTTAGTCAGACCCAAATTTGAGTGGAGGTGTTGAACATTCCGGAATTCTCTATGCAGAAATGATTGCAGATAATTTAGAAGAAGAAGTTCCGGGCCCTTCTAATGAAATAAATAGTAAACAAGAAGAGAAAGCTTTGGCTAGCAGAACAGCTTCGACAGATGAAGGAATTGGTTGTGGAGATGGGGAAGAATTATTTAGACCTAGAGGGAAAAGTAGTGGGCAATCTAGTAGAAAAGGGGGTGGAAGACTTAGAAATCAGAGCGAATTAGAAGTTAATGCACATCATTATAAAATGCAAAATGTTTATAAAGATCAAAAAGAAAAATCGAGGAGTAAAAAGCCGTTGACTGATATTGACTTTGAAGGTGAATAGACTTTTTGATTTTGAAAATATTAAAAGGCGGGGAATATTTGAAAATGATTAATAACGGGAAATTATTTCAAAATGTAAAATTGGGTAAAATGTTTCAAAACGTCAATTACCGTAAAATATCTAAAAATGTCAAACAGGCAAAAATATTTCAAAATGTCAAGAAAATATTTCAGTAATATCTAGGAATTCTCAAAATAATTGGTGGGTGTTCGACATGGCAAATTCTAATATATTTAATTATTTCTGCTCATCAAATGCCTCATGCAATGTTTAACCTTTCTGTTGTTTATTTTACTTATTTGCCTGATCATTGGTGTAAAGTTGAGAAAAAATATTTAAATTAATTAATTATTTTAAAAGAACCTAGCTATTTGAAAATGAGAAAACCTAGATTTAAGATATGTTTTTGTTTGAGTAAGGGAGAGTTTTCAAAGTGATATAGCCGGGAATGGGGAGGGGAAGTGATTTTAAAGACGAAAGGCGAAGCACCAGACCCGTGATCTATATATCCTCTCTATCTCATTATAAAATACAAAAAAAGCCTAAGTGAGGCTCTGTATAATCTCCAACTTTATTCAATAATTACTATATTTAGTTACCGAGTTTTTCGAGAGAATATATTGAAAATCCAGAAAATAAAATTGGGCCAGGTTGGAGTTGGGAGAAGGCTTTAGATGCTGGAATAGCTTTTCCACAGGTAAAGGAAAATTCTCAGGGAAAGTCTTCAATTTCCTCCAAAAGGTTCGTAATAGACGTACAAAACACGATCAATGTGCAGTTTACACAATTTCTGAGGCACAGCTACGTGAATATTTGGCGATGAACTTTACCGAAGCTATACTTTTGGCTAGAGAACGGCCCCCTTATTTGGTGAATTAAAAGAAAATTGTTTGACTAAATTTTTTAAAATTAAAAGATTCAACGGTGTAAACAATGGGAATATGATAGAAATATTATGTCTGATTCTGTAGTAACTCAGTGGGACCGGGTCTGTGACGATAATTGGAGTAGAGGTGGCTAATTGTATTTTTAATTCCTCAAAATTTTAAATTAAGCACACGTTCATCTTTCCTATTCACTTGGATATTTAGTTGGGTGTATGATGGGTGGCTATATTTCGGTAATTATTATTAGTTTAGTCCTATAGTATTTTGGACGTATATTTTGTTTAGTCTTTTTTCTGTATTTTTGTTTCCGGAATGTTTTATTTTACAAATTATATTTTATATGATTTGTAAAAATTAATTACAATTTATTATTTTCCGGAATAATTATAAATTTACAATTTATTCTTTTTCCGGAAACAATTACAACCTAGTAGATACCTTCCGGAATTATGTAGAAATTAATTACAAATATAGTATGTACTACTTTTCCGGAAGAGTTGTAAATTATTTAAAGTTTATTTATTATTTTTCCGGAAATATTAAAAATAAACTTTCTCCCTCTCATTTTCATGATCGGTATGGACGCAAACCTGCAATTTATGGATTTGCTATTTTATCAACAATTTTTGGCTTTCTTTTATCGTTTTCGAGAGAATTTGAAGTATTTTTAGTTGTAAGGTTTTTATTAGCTGCGTGCAATGAAGCTGCGGATTTGGCTGGTTTTTAATTATTTTTTTAAAAAATATTTTGGAAAAATAAATTTTCTAAAGCTTATGTTTATTGTATGGAAATTACTGGTAAATTAAAAATTAAATTAATTTAAAAAACCAAAAATAGGAGTACAATATCGCTCTATAGTCGGCAGCCTCTTACAAGCCCCCTGGGCCTGTGGATATGCTTTTTTGGCTTTGGTCGCTTATATTTTTAGATCTTGGACATCAATTCAAGTTGGAAAAAGAAAAATAATTTTTAATTAAAAAATATTTTTAAAGTTAATTACCTCAACCCTTCATTTCTTCGCCCTTTTCCTCGTTCATCACTTACCGGAAAGTCCTCGATGGTTAATTGTAACTAATAGGGTTGATGAAGCAGAAAAAATTATTAGAAAGTTGAGTGTTTTTAATTTGATTTTAATTAATTTTAAATTAATTTCAACAATATTTTTTTTAATTTTAGGCCTGTCATTTCAACAAAAGTTCATTACCTTCAGACTTGGAATTGGTCCGGCATTCGTAAGTTTTTTTTATTAATTTGTAAAATTATAAATAGAAAAGTTACGGAAAAGTTGAATTCAAAACTTTCCGGAATGACTTAAATTGTAATACGATAGTGGAATTATTTATAACAATTGTAAATAGAAAAATAAACTTTCCGGAAAAAGGAGAAAAAAGGTTGAGTTTAAGTCTTTCAAATTTTCCGGAAAAATAAATTAAATTAAAACATTTCCGTAAAACAAATACATATATAGCTTTGTAATTTACAAATTGTAATAATAAAATTGTAAAATAATTATACAATTTGTAAATTATTAATTCTAACTTAATTAATTTACAAATTAAATTTTAAAATATTTTTAGAGAAATGCGCAAATGGATTGATGTAAAATTAATTTTTAAAAATAAATTAATTGAATATAGCATAATCAACGTCCACATTTTCTCCACTCATTCAAATCGCCAACAATGGCTTTTAGAAATGTTATTATTGGATTAGTTTGGATAGCTACTGCTTTGGTTTATTATGGAATTGTTATTGCTTTGTCTGATCAAGTAAATTAAGAAATTAAGAGATTTTCTAATCGAACTTTCCGGAAAGTAAATAATGGCAATCCCGGAGAATCGTGGTCCCTGCGGAAAAAAATCTTAAAAATAAGAAAAAGGATTTTTCTAGGGTAAAAAATTATACTGATTACGAATCTGAACTCAGATTTTCAAAAAGTCGAATCCCGAATTCGGACATTTGACCCTGGACATTGTCGGACATTGTACAAAATGGTCGGTACAAATAGTTATTGTATAAAATTGAGCTCGATGAGTAGAACTCATCGAGCTCCATCGAATGACACCAAAATCAATGAAATCCGACATGAATGGACCGAGATACAGACCCCTAAATATTGAAAAACCACAGGGGTGATTTTTTGAAGTAAAAAAAAGTTTATGCAATTGGTAGCTCATTCGAAAGAGCTCGTCGTGCTGAGTCGAATGACACTAAAATTACTGTGATTCATCAAGTTTTGACAAAGTTATGACATAGGTCGCCGACACCTACAGTACTCCCATAGGTTTACTTTATGTCATAACTTTGTCAAAACAGGTCCAATCACGTTGATTTTGGTGTCATTCGATGCAGCTCGACGAGCTCTTTCGAAAGAGCTATCATTTGCATATTCGAAATTCGGGTTCAGGGTTCGAAATTTGGTTCGGGTTCGGGATTCGACTTTTTCAAAATCTGAGTTCAGATTCGTAATCAGCATAATTTTTTACCCTAGAAAATCCTTTTTCTTGTTTTTAAGATTTTTTTCCGCAGGGACCACGATTCTCCGGGATTGCCTAAATAATTACATCAAAAAGCAAGCAAGAGTTTACTGGACAGTAGTTAAGCTTGTTGACCTCCTAGCAGCTATTATTACTAGGAGCCTCGCTCACCTCTGCAAGTACCTGAGCTTCTGGGGCAACTTTTCCTTCTCTCATAACACTTACCTAGGCGTTTTAGCAAATATTACCTAGCTAAACGCCAAATGGCGCACACCCAATTATAGCCCCAATGAAATCCGACCCATGTATACGCCCTAGCTACTGAATCTCTCCTCTATTACAATACTTAAAAAATTTTTTTGAATAATAATTTCTTTTAATTTACATAGTCAACTCCCGGCCGAGCAATGTTTGCAGGCAATTTCTTTCTAAATAATGCAATTGCTGGGGCTATTGAATTGCCTACATTAATTGCTTGTGTTTTTTTGTTACATAAAGTCTTTTATTTTATTTTCAAAATTATAAGGAAAAAAATTCTAGGGAGGCCGTAAATGGTCACAAGTTATTTCTTTAATCTGTGCTGGAACTCTAATTTTTGCAGCAATGTGCCTTAGCCTTCGTGGAGAAATGGCTTTTTCTCTTCTTTTCCTTTTAGCTGGAAAGGCGTGTATTCAAGGGGCTTTTAATATTCTTTATATGTAAATTTTATTTTAGATATTTTACAATCCGGTTGTAAATTATGATTTTTCGTTTCCGTATTATAATAGACAAACAAATACATAAATTGTAATTGTCAATATTCCGGAGAGTAAATAAAATAAAGGAGAAGTAGCCCCGGACACGGACAGACATCGGCCTTAGCTTTTCACTACGTACTTGCTCTACCGATTGTGAGCTACCGGGGCGCTGACTTTACCTAGTAAGCATTTTGAATGCTTGCCAGCTGCCTCTTCTTTGAATGACATAAAAATTAATTTACGGATTCTAATAAATTTACAACTTAAATAAAAAGAAGGAAAAAGAGAGTTAATTAATTTAAAATATTCTCACTAACATTCAAAAAATATTTTTTTCAAGTTTTACCTCAGAACTTTACCCAACAGTTATTCGCAACAGTGCAGTAGGTACATGTTCAATGATAGCTAGAATAGGGTCAGCGGCTTCTGGTTATATTGCAATACTTTCTGATGTGACACTGTGAGGGATTTAAATTTACGCTCAAAATTTTGAAAAATAATTTCCAAGTCCAATTGTTCCAATGGCCGTCTTTTGTGTTTTTTCTCTCTTTGCCGGCGTTCTTATTTATTTTCTGCCTGAAACTAGAGACTTGCCATTACCAGAGACTATGTATGATGCTGTGAGGTATTTATCTGATTTTTAAAAATAAATCCGGAAATGCCCCTTCAATTTAAAAGAATGCTTAATAGCAGTGGAGAACGTTATCGTTGTATTGGTGGAAATCAAGCAGCGGATGGGGGTGAACACGAGGACGATTTTGATGATTATTATGTTACTAAAGCTAATAATAATGAAGATAACAATACTACACTTTCAGATGTTGAAGAAGAAAAGGAGATTGGAGATGATGTTTTTCTTTATACAAATGTTAGTAAAAGGTGATGAAATGGGTAGATTAATGGAGATTATCCAAAAAATACTCTGGCCTAACAATAATCGTCTTGTACTTTTTTTTTGGAAATTCCACCTTTAATTATTAAATAGAATGTAGGTAGTGGGTGTAAGGTTGGCGGTTTATGGGAAATTTTCGGTTATCCGGGACAGATAACCGAAACGAAAATTTTCGGTTATCCGGTCTTTTTTCGGTTCCGGATAACCGGAACCGCCAACCTTAAGTGGGTGTCCGAAAATGTCTGTTCGCAAATGTCCACAAATAATTTAATTTACAATTCTTAAACAATTTATGCTTCCCGGAAAGACAAATTACAATTTGTAATTTTTCTATCGCATAGTTAATTAATTACACAATTCCTCTCTATATGTTACCTCCTAATTATATCCAACATTTCATTTATTTGCTCAATTTTTTCTTTAAAATGCTCAACATTATTATTTTGTATATATTTATTTTCTTTATAAATTAGTTAAAATAATTTTTATGATTTTTTTGGAAATATTTAAATGTCATATTTTTATGTTTTCTTCTTTAAAAAGGGAAGGAAGGGCCGAGAGTGCGCGTTTCTCGTTGATTTCCCTAGGGTGATGAAGCAACAAAATAATGACATGACAATTGTTTTAGAGGGAAGTAAAGCTTGTATTGCTCTAATAATATTTCTTTAAGTATAAGCTATTAAATTTTTTAAAATTATTTATTTATAGAGCACGAAATGCTAATTTATTTTAATTTTAAATTCCTCATTTTGCGTCATTCTTTCCTTAAACCTCCCAAAATTGATAAAATAGAGAATTGGTTAACTTCGGTTTTGTTGTCAATTATTTCCGTTGCTTCGTTTTTATTCAATAAATTCTGATGTAAATTGTTATAGAGATCTGAAATAAAAGAGGAATTTATTTTTCCGGAAGATTAAATTACAAATTGTAATTGTATTTTTGAAAATTTATATTTTTCCGGAAAGAAATTACAATTTGTATTTATACACTTTTCCGGAAAGTTAAATATTGGAATTTATATTAGTATTTGTATTTTATGTATTTTTCCGGAAGTTAAAATTTACATAATTATAAGTAAATTACAATTTGCATTTTATGTTTCCGGAATGAATTTACAAATTTTTCATTATAATACACTTTTCCGGAAAGTTAATATCTAATGTATATTACAATTTGTATTCTTTACATTTTCCTGAAAGAAATCACAATTTTTTAATAATACATTTTCTGGAAGGAAATTAATTTGTATTATTTTCCGGCTAAAATCATATTTTATATTTTATATATTTTTCCGGCAAACTCTAAATTAACTTTATATTTCCAGAATAATATTAAAATTAAATATTAAAAATATCCTTACATGAAGGAGACTGAATAGAGCTTTTATTTTGGTTGTCATTTATTAGATTGCTTAAACATAAAAGTTGATTAGGCAAATGTTGAGTATTATTAACTTCTTTTTGTGGAAAAACAAAAAAATTATTATATTGGGAAGCATTAATATTATTAAATAAAGTAGGAGGAGGGGGTGTTGTTGTTGTTGTTGTTGTTATTTTTCTTTCTAAATTAAATTTTGAATTTTCTAAAATTAAATTTGTGGAGGAATTCTCTTCTAAATTATTAAATAAATGTTGGTGTCCTTTTTGTGAAGCAATTATTTGTCCAATTAAAATTAATTGTTTTGTAATTATGTTGTTATTCTCGTAAATATTGTTGCTTGTTTTGTTTGTCTCGAATTTTGTTTTATTTAAAGAAAACTTTGTTTTGTTGTTGATGTTGATGTTTTTGCGTTTGTTTCTCTTATATTTTGCTAAACACCCATTAGCTACTGAACGGATATCCAACTTTTGGAAAATAAAAAGTTTATTTTAAAGTTTATTTTCCGGAAAGTTGTAAATTGTAATTTAGTTTTGTTTCCGGAAAGGTTTAAATTGTATTTTCAGAGAAGGTGTAAACTTGTATTTTGGGAGGTGTTTTTTCCGGAAAAGTTTATATGTAAAATGTGTAATTAGAGTTTATTCCAAAGTTTTCCGGAAAGTTGTAAATTGCGTTTTGAAAATTGTAATTAATTTGTTTCAGGAAAGGCTGTAAACTTATTTTGGGTTTTTAATATTTTCAGAATACTTTCAAATGGTTATTTATATTTTTCCAAAAGGTTTTAAATGTTTGTTTAGTGCGGATTATTATTCATATATTTTTCCTTCCGGAAATTGTAAAATCCTTTACAAATTATTATTTGCCTTTTACTTTGCGAATTAAAATCAAACTTTACTTTAAAGCGCTTCTGCCGCCTCAAACAACTTCCATTCTCGAACATGCACATTGCTTTTGGATGAATTGCCCAACAAGAACCCTTTTTAATTATAAAATTTACTAAAATTTTCTCTGTTTTTACCTTCCCTGGTTGATCTGCCTTTCTCGGCACCCTTACAAAACAGTCATTAAATGAAAGGTTGTGTCGGAGTGAATTCTTTAAAAATATTTGTGAAGATTAAAATTTAAATTACCTGCCACCTCTGTGTATTCTGTCTAAAATAAGGGAAATGTTCCATTATAAATTTATAAATTTCCGTTAAGGGTAACATTTTTTCAGGGGAACTTTGAATTGCCATATAAGTTAGCCATATGTAGGAGAATGGAGGTTTCTGTTGGGGGGAAAAACAATGTGAACAATTATAAGTAATTGGCTTGAATTACCGTAAATGCTGAAATAATTACCCTCTTTCAAATAAATACCCTCTTATTTTTCCTACACTAATTTTAGAATAAATATCAATTCGTAGACAAAATCAATTTCGTCTTCAGTTGCCTAGAGATTCACCCCAAATTCAGCATCTCATCCCTATCAATCCCTATCAATTACCCCCTCAAGTAAGAGACCCGTAGTAATTATTTCAGCATTTATTTTAATTAATTTTATCACCTGTTCTTCTTGACTAATAAAATTGTTTTGACTTGACATTTGTAGGTATTTTTATTATAAAAATTTTTAAAATTTTTCTCCAAGTTTTAATTTTAAAGTTTTTTAAAAGAAAATAAAATAGACAATGTTTGTTGTTGTTGTGTTATTTTTGTGGTCAAATATGCATCTTTTCCAAACAAAAAGGCGGGGCATATTTACATATATTCTATTCTTATTTAAGAAACATAAATATTTGTTAAAAGAAAAGCCAATAAATGAGAGAAACCCTTAAAAAGCAAATAAAGGAAGGGAGAGGGAGGGAGAGGGATATGTTTACTGTAATACTTTATTTAACGGAACGGGCCTGTTGAGACCGGCCGGTTGAGCCCCGCCAGTTGAGACCGGGCAGTTGAGACCGAGGCCAGTTGAGCGCGGGCCGGTTGAGACCGGGCCAGTTGAGCGCGGCCGGTTGAGCGCCCCTTGTTAACTGTCCAGTTGAGCGCCAATATATTTTTACACTGATAAACTTCTGGCAAAATGTTTATTCATGTTCGGAACAACTTGACTAATGTTCGGAACAACTTGACTAATGTTCGGAACAACTTGACTAATGTTCGGAACAACTTGACTAAAGTTCGGAACAACGTGACTCAGGATTGCACAACTTGACTCATGTTCGGAACAACGTGACTCAGGATTGGAACAACGTGACTCAGGATTCCACCATTGTTGGTACCAGGCCCGTAGCCTGGATTTTTTTGAGGGGGGGTTGGGGCAAGGGGGAAAAATTCTTCTGCGCCGAATTTTTGGAGCCAAAGGCGCCAAAAATTTTTATTTTCAGCGCCCCAGGCGAAAATTTTGAGAATTTTAGAAGGCCGTAGGCCAAAAAAATCACTTTTTTTAGCGCCGGGGCGAAAATCTTCCCCCGTCCTTGGAACAAAAAAACTTCCCCCGTCCTTGGAACAACATCCCAAGTCATTTGAACAAAATCCACCGTCCTTGGAACAACATCCCAAGTCATTTGAACAACATCCCCCGTCCTTGGAACAACATCCTTCGTAATTTGGAACAACTTCCCAAGTTATTTGAACAACATCCCCCGTCTTTGGAACAACATTCCCCGTTTCGCGCTCAACTGGACAGTTAACAAGGGGCACTCAACTGGCCGCGCTCAACTGGCCCGGTCTCAACCGGCCCGCGCTCAACTGTCTTCGGTCTCAACCGCCCGGTCTCAACTGGCGGGGCTCAACCGGCCGCGCTCAACTGACCCCAACCGTTATTTAAGTAAAGGTTAATTGAAAATTTGTAATTTAACAATTAATTAACTGATTGGGACGATTTTGGTGTCTTTCAATAGAAAATTGAATTGACTATTAAATGAGGGGAAAATTAAAAATTTTGGTTGGAAGATAAAAAAGTTATGGTCGAAAAACCTTCAAAAATCCATATTTTTGGCAATTTATTTGCCATAACTTTTTTGTTTTGTAGGGTGAAAATATCAATTTTAATATTTTGTAGAAAATTTTATCCTCTTTCGAATGAAATAAAAATCACTTTAGAATGTTCAGTTTTTCAAGAGTTATGGTACAACAACCAGCGTGTGCTTCGAAACTCATCTTTTACTGTATTTATTTTTTTTATTTTTTCCTTCAAAATTCTTTTATTTAAAAATTTTCCGTTAAAACAGAAAAAAATTCAATTTATTTTTACCCGCTTTATTTTAAATTTACGGAACAAAGAGAATCACTTCCTCTTTCAATTATTTTTATTTTTATTTTAAGGATTTTTCAAGTTTATTTTTATTTATTTTTAGGGAGAGAAAAGGGCTATCGCAATTTTGGTTGAAGGGGTTTTCCTTTCAACAGTAAGAGACTCGGGTTTGAACTTTTCTTTTTAGATTAATTTTAAATTTATTTTATTTTCTAAATTTAATTTTTAATTTTCTAGACCTCTGTTTTCATCAAACTTTTTTTAATTTTTAATTTTCTTTCCAAAAATAATATTTAATATTTCCCAAACTACCCATCAAATTAATTGCCTTCCCCCTCCAAAGAAATGGAAAAAATAATAGAAAATACCCTAAACAATATTTTACTTTCTGAATATTAAATACGCGTGTTTTTGTTTTATTAAAAAGTTAAAGAGAAAAAAGAAACGGTAAGCTGTCAGTTTTTGGTTGGTGGTTGGATTGGGTGGAGGGAGGGAAGGACTGTCAATATTAATAAACTTTATTAAAATATTTTTTTAATTTAAATTTAAAAGGCCTACATTTAAATAATATAAATGAGTTTTTAATTTAAGAAAAAATTAAAAACAAATTTTTTTATTTAAGGGATATTTCCGTTTCCTTCCAAGTAGATAGGCAATGTTTAGAGTTTTCCCCTAAAAGACACGTCACCTTCATTCATACATCGACTGTCCCGAGATTTGTTTTTGACCTGATTTTAATCACAATCAAACAACGCCTTCCCAAACCATCCATCAAATTTAGGGTTGCCAAAATGGACCGACTCGGACCGAAAGATCGAGTCATGCCTCGATGTTTGGCCCGAAAAAGTCTCGTACCTGCCCGACTCGATAAAGTTGGGCCCGAAAAAGACTCGTAACGGCCCGACTCGATAAAGTTAGGCCCGAAAGTGACTCGTACCGGCCCGACTCGATAAAAAGAGGCCCGAAAAAAATTGTCTCGGAAAAAGTCGGCCCGACTCGAACAAGACTCGATAATATTTTTACCAGATTTGTGGACAAAAATGGGAGAAATCTGGCTCCTTGGCCTTCCAAAATTCGAAAAATTTTCGCCTGCGGCGCAGAAAAAGACAGAAATTTGGTCCTTAGCCTTCCGAATATCTCAAAATTTTTGCCTGCGGCGCTGAAATGAAGAATTTTTAGCTCCATACTTTGCTTCACATCTCGAACTTACTGGCTTTAATCGATAAGCTGGATTACTGGGATTTATAGGATATATTCCGCGGGATCCCATCATCATTTGAACTTTTTAAACTCAATCAGTTTTGAGAGTCCACAATTTTCCAGGGGGTCAAAATTCTCAAAATTTTCGCCTGCGGCGCTAAAAATAGAAGAAATCTGGTTTCCTGACTTTCCAGTAAGCCCTTATTTAAATACGAATAGTTCAATCATGGTACACTGGGATTTTATTAAGGGATTTGGTGATTAACGCACAATATCACTTAAATCTTGTGTTATCCTTCAAATCTCCGATATCCATTCAAATCTCTTCAATCCTTTTAAATCCCATTACAATATAGCACCTTAATTATCTGATATGCGATCCTGATCCCCTTAATCATCTGATCTCCTTTAATAAAACCAAATCTAGCAATATCTCACACCAATCCTCCGATAATTTAAATCACCTTAATCCCTCAAATCCACTGATATCCATTTCAATTCTCTTCAGCCCTTCCTTTACCCTCCAGATCCATCGATATACCTTATAATTCACAGATATCCCTCCAAATCCACTAATTATTTTTAAATAAATCTTTTAAAAAAAGACTCGAAAATGTCTCGATGCCCGACTCGATAAAGTCAGGCCCGAAAGTGACTCGTTCCGGCCCGACTCGATAAAGTTAGGCCCGAAAAAGACTCGTATCGGCCCGACTCGATAAAGTAAGGCCCGAAAAAGACTCGTACCGGCCCGACTCGATAAAAACAAGCCCGAAAAAAAATGCCTCGACCGTCGGCCCGACTCGAAAACGGCAACCCTAATCAAATTAATTAGGCCCGAGGTGTGTCGTATTAGCAAACTTCAACCGCATCAAAAGATAATGGTAATTCTCTGCTATAAAATACTAAAAAATTGAATTTTTAGTTTTACTCTTTTAAAAGATCTCAGTATTTAATTGGATTAAGTTGTCAATTTTATTTGTGAATTTTGTTATTTTAATTTTGAAAAAAATTTAGAAAATTAATTTCTTTTTAATTTTCATTAATTAATAAATATTTTTAAAATTAATTTCTCTTTCCTATTCATTTTTTCAACAATTCTTAATAACAACATATGGAGGGGTAAAAACAATTTTTAATGTTTCTTCTCTCGAGAACTAGCTTAAAATTATTATTATTGCTTTTACGAATAAATTGGCTTTTTAAAAATATTGAAAAAAAGTCATTCTTATTTTTGTCTAAAAATTGTTGAAAATTAAAATTTTTTTTTTAAATTTGTTTGAAAAATTCTGAGTGGCCAAAAACAATTTAATTTTAAAACGCCAAAAATCTGCGCAAATTTCTGATTTTCTTTTGAGTAATTAATCTTGGAGAAAATTTGGGATTTTTTATAACGAAAAAAGTCAAATAAAGTAATTTAGGTAAATTAATTAAAAGAAAGATTAATGTCCATGCGCCGTAACTACATATATATTACAGAATTCCAACAGTGATGTTTGTTAGCGAGGGAAAGAAAAAGGAGAAAAAATGGAGGGAGGGGAGGTTGATTGGTTGGTGTTCGCGTGTTTCTCTTCAACAAATTCAATTAGAAACTCCTACAAGATACATACAATACTAGATATCGGAGATAGTATCAAGGAATGCCGTTCCAATTCCCGAAAATTGTGAATTCCCTACGTTTTTTGGTCGGGAATTTCCGATTCCCGAAATAGGGAACTAAAATTTCGCGGAAATTTGTGAAAAATCAGAATTTTTTTTATTATAAAAAATAGGAGGGGTCTCAAAAAATATTTGTAGTTTTCATCATGCCTTATCTGAAAATCGCTCACGAGTTTTGGACAGCCCTCTCTTATAATGAAATTACTCAATTCAGTACCGAGGATGTCGTCATATTGATATTAGACTATACACCTCACTTTAAGACAATCGGCTATCCCCTGATCGGAAATAATTGCCTAGGAATACCTCCCCCTCCTACTTTCCCTCATTAATAAAGCAATCTTTTTGTCCACAAAACTAAAAATACCAAAATATATTTTGTCTGTATTGAAACAAATATTTGACCAAATAAAAAGAAGATAACGGCACACACTTTGTTAACCTTCTCAATTTAAATTTATTCACAGTTGGATTCTCCTCATTAAATAAATAAAAATATATCTTCCTATAAATATCCAACACAAAAAGTGTCGACTGACTTTTTTTAAAAAAAACCTTCAAAAATCTTTTTTTAATTTCTTTGTTCTTAAAAGCGCCGTTTTCAGAGGAAAATTAATTTTGCGAAAAAAAAGGAAAAATTATGTGAAGAAAATTAGAAGAAAAGGGAGAGAGGGGGGAATGTTTGTGGTCATATTTTAATAAACTTTAAATAATTAATTAAAGGACTACAAAAGTAAAGGGACAAAGGAATTAAAGTTTTACAAATTGTAGATTTTTTATAATTTATAAAAAGTTCTAAATTACAATTATAATGTTTGTGGTGATCACAACTAGATCCTTTTCAAGTTCATTTATAGTCTAAATAACTTTAACTCCAGCAATGTAGCGTTTGTGGTCTTTTGGTAGTTAAGGTTTCTAGTTAGAAACCTTAACTACCAAAACAAAAATGATCAGTTGATCATTTGAAGTGTTGTGGTAAGGTGGAGGGAGGTAGGGTTAAAATCCGATCGGTTCCAGAATATTTTAATAGCTTTTGAAGTTATTATACAAGATAAATTTTTATTTAGTTTTTATAAAAATTTAAAATTCCAATTTATAATTAACTAGGTAGTTGATTATTTGTTTTTTCAAATCAAATAAAAATTATTTTTGTTAGAACAAAAAACTTGTTAATAATCAAATGCCAAATATCGCTATAATAAACCAGTTTTTTAATATGTCGCATTTAACATATTTTTTTGAGAAACTTTTGGACAAAAAATAAAAACAAAATTATATATTTTTTTTCTCTTCAATCCATCATAAATAAATGCCGTTCTCCAAAAGGTGTAAAGGTATTTTTAATATTATGAACGGCAAAAATGGCAAAAAAAGGGGGGATTTTTTTATTGTTTAATGATCCATTTTAAAAGAAAAAAAAATTAATTATTTTTAAAAAAATTAGAAAAAAATAATATTTAAAAAATGATATCCATTAAATAAAAAAAAATGGGTTAGCAGCAGGGATGTAGAGGTTTTGCCTTTTTAAAATTATTTTAGGCACACCTTTGATAAGGACTAGAAATGAGATAATTTAAAAATTAATAAATCATTTGTCAGTAATAGACTATCTGTTTGAAATAATTTTGTATCAATCAATAGAGAATTAGATAAACTATAAAATAAAAATTAAGATTAATTTTTAGTTATCTAAGTAACAAATGTTATGATCAAAAAACCTTCAAAAATGCATGTTTAAGGCACTTTTTCGCCATAACTATTTTATTTTGGCTTATAAAAATTTGTAATTTTGAAGTTTTGTAGCCAACTTCATTATCTATCGAATAGTCTTTAAAATATTAAAAAAGGTTTATTTATTCTCGAGTTATGACAATTTAATTAGAGCTGGATAAATGAGAAAGATTAATGGGTATTAATTTTAAATAATTAAATAATTAAATTTTTGGCGTTTTGTTTTTATTTAAAATAAAAAGAAATAGTTAATGTGCAGAGAAAAAGAGTAGGGATTTTTTTGGCTCCGGTACAAAATATGGAATCGTTAAAATATGGAATGGTTAAAATCGCGAATAGGCTAAAAAGGGGTTAAAATACCGAATCGTTAAAATATGGAATCGTTAAAATATCGAATCGGGTAAAAAAGGGTTAAAATATGGAATCGTAAAAATATGGAATGGTAAAAATGTCGACACGGCCAAAATGGGTCAAAATGTCGAATTCTTTTAAAAACGGGTCAGATTTGTGCCATACGTTGATTGTTGATAATTTTATCAACATCAGTTTATTGATGATAAGTTGATTGATAAGTTTGGTAAGTCGTAGTCCGTCGTAATCTTTTCTGTCTGAGTTCACTGTACTTTACCGAGTAAAACCGGACCGGATAAATCAAGCATAATCGACCGGATCCGGTCCGGCATGATGAGGAACATTCAATGGAAAATATATGGAAAAATTAGAGTGGTATGCATTAGTTTTTAGTTAAGACCTAAAGTTTGACCTTACCGTATACGGTATGGAATACCGAAAAATAACGGTCAGCTTTTAAATTTTATCGGTCGGCATTCCGTACCGTACAACCGACACGGAATACCGAAAAATACCGTCGGTATTACGGTAACGCCCGGATTCAAGGTTTTGGCGCATCTTTAAAAAAATTCGACATTTTGACCTATTTTGGCCGTGTCGACATTTTATCAATTCGATATTTTAACGATTCCATATTTTAACCCTTTTTTAGCCGATTCGATATTTTTACCATTCCATATTTTAACGATTCCACATTTTAACCCCTTTTTAGCCTATTCGCGATTTTAACCCATTTTTACCCGATTCGAGATTTTAACCCTTTTTTAGCCTATTCCATATTTTAACGATTCGATATTTTGTCCGGACACGATTTTTTTATTTATTTTGGAATTTTTTGTATTTTTTTGCTAGTTTTTTTCTCATATTTTTAAAGATATGTCTGAAGATTCCAATATTTTAACTAAAAATGATTCTCTTCCGGCAAAAGAAATTGATCCAATAAATAAATATACAGCATTGTTTGTTAGGGTAAAAATTCTTTTTTATTTGCCTTCTTCATCATCTGTTTATTTTTAGGGAGCTATTGTTGGGACGGGAATTGTTGGATTGGCTATTTTTGTGAGAAGTTCTCGATGGGTGGGTAGATTTTTTGAAAAAAAATTTTGTGAATTTTTTTTTCAATTTCCACAGTTTGCAACTTATCACCATGTAAAACTAATTCCTTCCGATTTTTATCGTCTTGGAATTCAAATGAAAGGAATTGTGAGGGAATTGGATAAAAATGGAAAAATTAGAGTAGAGCATTTACCTGCTTATAAATTACCAAAAATTTTGAGATTTGGACGGTCTTCTAAAGCTAAGGTTTTATTCAGGATTTAAATACTTTTTAGTGTTAGTAATAAGGAAGGCAGTAAAACGGAACAGCCTGGATCCAGACTTGTGTTTCCTGGGTACAGAGTCAATATATATATACCTCCCCCCGGCTACGGGCCTGGAGTGTGTTAATTAAACTTTATAGGATTTTCTCAATCTTCGGCTTGCTGGTTTGGACATTTCTCCTGTTGGTATTGACTATTTAACCAAAGATTTGAGGATAGAAGGACGCCCAGTTGTTTTTAGCGTGGTTAATATTGTTGAAAAGCAACCAGATATTGCAAATGCTGATTTGACGATTAAAAAGGTTTGAAGGAAGAATTTTTTGTTTTAATTTTTAAAAATTATTTGTTTTTCGAAAATATTTTCGAATTATTTAATTTAAAAAAATCGGGTTGGGTTCGAACCTCCAGGTCTTTTTTAGATAAAAAATTAAAGTAAGCCTTCTAACCGCACGTTTTATTTTTCACTGGTTCTATTTTTCATCCTTGTATCGGATTTCTTGTCTGGAAAAGGATCCAAACTTTTTCCAAAATTTTTTAAATATAATCCAAACTATATTTTTTAGCCTCTTCGCAAAATAAATTTAAATGTTGAATTAATTCGCAAAGGATATGCACGTGTTTTTGGTTTAGATAATTATGAACATGTCCAAACATTACAATTTAATTCAAACTATTCGAGGCTAATTACTCGACTTTTGACTTGCGAAAAGGTTTTTTTGGAGATTCTTTGAAAGTAAAAAAAAATTTTTTAGGTTGCCGAAAGACGCGGTTTGGGACTTTGGGAACGGACTACTTGGGTAGAAAGTTTTGCTGCTTACCCAGCAACTTTGTTTCAAATAATTAAACAATCTGCCGTCGTTAAACTTTGTGTAGGAAATTTTTTATTTAAAAATATTTTGAGACGTTTTGACTAGTGATTTTTTGACTTTAGCCCTCACCGAGATTTATAAACCTTTTTATAGTAAAAATTAGGAGACTATGTATATTCTAGACATTTTTGAAAATTCTTTTTTTTATTCCAAATCGTTCAGATTAATTCTTTTAAAAAACATCATACATAGAATGTTATTTGAGGAAGATTTTTGATTTATTTATTTAATTTAGGCTTTAGTTTTTATGATATAATCGAATCAAAGTCTAAACTTCTTTGGATATCGCAACCCAAGACTTTTTCCTTTCACAAAACGGAATAATTTACAATTTAAAAATTTCCAAAAATTCTCTCAAACTACTTACTAGACTTGGAGCTCGATATTTCGGAAAATTATGATTCTCAATACCGAAATTTTTGTTAAGATTTCGTTTTATAGTTAGTCAGATCTCCATTCCAAGCCTCCCTTTTCTTGTTTTTTAAATACAAATTTAATCTTTTTTTCTTTTTCAAGTTCCTCGCATATTGGCTAATTTATGACATTTTTCTCAAATTATCAGCTCTTTCAAAACAAATTTTTTATATTGCCAAAACTCTTGGAATTTATTCAATAGAAGGTTATCAACGTTTCACTCGTTCAGTTGATCGCTTAATTAATTGGTATTCTAATTTGAAAGGTGGAAGAAGGGCAAAAAGAATTGAATGAAAGAAAAAATGAAGAGAAATTTAGAAAATAGAGATAGATTAATTGGACAGGTTTTTAGTATTTTTATAAATTTTTAAAGGCTTTTGTCCGTAACGGGAAGTCCCATAAATTGGAAATTTTTAAGAAAGAACCAATCCGTTTTTCTAACAATAAGGCAGTACTCTAGCTAATAAATAAATATTCCTCTCCATTAGAGCTGACAGTTATGAATATTTTCAAGCCGAAAAAAATTTGCATATCCGAAAATTTTGATTTGGATATCCAGAGATTTCCTAGGAACCCCAACCTTACTATCCATTTCTGCTAATTCTGAATAGACTGGCATTCGTTGTTGTTCTTCTACACATTCCCCGATCAAAACCAAAAATTCTCTTCATTTTCAGTCATTTCTGTCACAATATTTTCTTTCTTTTTTAGTTTTGTTAACTATATTTATTTGTCTAAAAGTTTATAATCAACAGTTAGAATTTTATATAAATTAAAGTATAAAATAGGAAAAACATTGAAATATTTGAAAAAATGGAAAAATCATTTTTGAGATTATTACCAATTTATTTAAAAATTATTATAAACTTTTCTGTCAAATAAATATAGTTAACAAAACTAAAAAAGAAAGAAAATATTGTGACAGAAATGACTGAAAATGAAGAGAATTTTTAGTTTTGATTGAGGAATGGGAAAAGAATATGAGAAAAATATCCTGCTTTTAAAAAATATTTCCTAAATAGGGTAAAGTAAAAAGATCTCGGCACCCAATATTTTTTTGTTTTTTGGGAGGGATTTCGTTAGCTTTTTACTAAATTCTCAAAATTAAAAGGACAAAAGTTTTTCTTCAAATAAATATTTGCTTGTTTTTTTTTTTGCTCAAATATTGTTTTTAAATAGTTGTCAATTTTGCTTGAAATTAAATAAATTGTAAAAATTAATTTTTTATATTAAAATTGTTTTTAAAAACTAAATTTTAATATTTTTTGTTTCTTTAAATTTTTTAAATTTAATTTTAAAATTAATTTTTTTATCAATTATGTCTTTATCTTTTGACCAATTATTTGAACATTCTTTAGTGTTGACCAGTCGAGAACCTAATTTTTTTGAAAAAGTTGAACATGAAGGGGATGGAAAATATAAATTGAAAATGTTGGAGGTTTGTGGAAAATTTTTGGAATTTTTAAAAATATTTCTGCATGACTTGTTTTACTGAAAGGACACAAAAATTGATGAAGAATAGTTTATCTAACAAATAGTAATTTTAATAAAATTTTGGAAGAAATATACTAGCTAATTTGACTTGGAAATTTGACAATGAATTGAAAATGATTCTTAAATATATTCTAATTTTTAGTTCATAAATTGTGGGCATATTAATAGGAGTATTTTCCATATTTTTAAAAATTTGATAAAATAATTTAAAAATTTTTTTTATTTTTCAGTCTGCCTGTTCAAACAACGATTTTATTGACTTTGAACATTGTCCTTACACAAAAGATTTGCTCAACAAATCCAATTTTATTTCAATTCTCAAACTTGGGTGGAATAAGGTTTATGATCAAGATCCTGAATTTAAGACGATTTTTGATCCGAAAGATGGGGTAATATTGTTAAAAAATTATTTTTCTTTAAATTTTTCTTTAATGTCTGACCGTTTATAACTTTGTGCATTTGTATTCTAATTTCATGCCAAAGTAAAGGGAATTGAGGAAATAATATTGGGGGTTTTTTGATATCAGAAAATTCTCTATTTTTCTATTTTTTTATCCGAAATTTAGACATTTTTCAGTCCGTACTGTCTTTGGGACCGATATCTATTTTTACAAAATATCTAGTAAAGGCTATTATAAACAGGCTTTATAAAAAATTTTTTTTCTTTTCAAAAAAAAAGATTGGAGAATTGGAAGAACAATTATTAGCCGGCCAGTGGAGTCAAACAGCTCGTGGACGTACCAAAAAATTAGCTCAACACAAAGCTGCTGCAAATGTTCTTTTGGATATAATTAAAAGTGGAAGACATAAAGAGGTTTTTTGTTTATTTTTTGGAGAAAATTAAGAATTTTTAAAGTTTTTAATTCCTGGAAGAAATGCAGAAGAAGCTTTTAAATTGATGTAGGTATTTTTTGTTTTGAATTTCAGCCCCTCTCTTTATGCGTTATAGAGCAGGGGTATATGCGGACCGATTCCCTAAAATTGAGAATCTATTTTTCTCAGCTACTTTAATAAAGCAGCGGGGCTAAAGCTATTTCTCTCGTTCAGCTAGTGCAAAAGGTTAATCGGCGGCTGGGAGCGATCCAGCATCTTCAGTAAACCGGACTGATCCATTATACCTCGCCGGCTACTGCACAGCCTTAAAAATGAAAAATAAATTAAAATTTATAAAATTTTTATTGTCTAATTATTTTTTAGAGGGAAGCAAAAATAAATTTTAAATTTTTTTCTTTAATACTCTGCCAAACTCTTTATCTAAATATTATTTCTTTACAATTAAATAGCTTTTACAAATTTTATTTTGTAAAGAATCTAAACAAAGTTTTATAATTGAGGGGATGAATCATAAATTGTCTTTAAAATATTTACATTTCATTATTTTTCTTTTTCTCTTCTTTTTTTTCTTCCTCTAACAATAACTGGAAGTCAAGACGAAAGTCCACTTTTTGTTACCTTCTTTTTATTTGATAAATTTTAAAAATTATTTTTCTACCACAACAATCAATTCTGTTGCAAATTTTCTCAAAAAATATTTTTCTTTTTCAAAATACCCAATAATCTTTAAAAAATATATTTTAATAGAACAACAGCAATGAGTAATGAACAAATCGAGGAAGGAGACAATAATGGAAGAGGGGGAACTATTAATATTAAACAAGGTGGTGGGGTGGTGTTACAACAACAACAAATAATTAATTGGGTTGGAAGGGTGCAGGAATTGTTTGTTTTTTATAGAATATAAATGAAAAATATTTTAGGATAACTTGAAAAAATTAAAAATCCGCATAAAACTTGCGGACTTCCTTGTCGCAAAAAACTTGCGGATAAACTGAAAAAAATTTCTTGCTGATTTTCCGTAAGGAAATACTAGCTGGATTACACATGGCCGATAGTACAAATTATTTTTTACTAGATAAATGATAATAACAAATGACCTAGGTAATTAAATTCTAGGATAATGAAAAAACGAATTGTCTGTAAGTGGAACGACGCCTATACTAGTGAAAATGAAAAATCAAACGATATTATGCACAATTGCAAACTTCAGTTTGACATTCTCGATGGTATTTTAATTTATTAAATCTGCAAAAATTTTTGCGGATTTTTTAATTAAAATTCAAAAATTATTTTTTAGTTTCGGCCACAAAATTAGAACGTCGTTTAGAAGCCGATTCAAAAGCTAGAAACAAGAAAATGGCAAAACAAGAAGCTTTCCGTAAAATTTATGAAATTTTGATTGCTGATTATGGGCCTTTTAATCAAATAATTGTGGTCAATGAAAACAAAAAAGAAAAGAAAGAAAATATTGTGACAGAAATGACTGAAAATGAAGAGAATTTGGTTGTGATTGAGGAAGGTGAAATAATAGAAGAAAAGGTTTAATTTTAATTTGGGGGATTTTTGTGGGGGGATTTGTTTTAAAATGTCCAAAGGGAAAAATGGTGTATGTACTTTAACAATAGGGAAATTGTTGAATCAATTATTTTCTAAATGTCTAGTATTTTTAGTAATTTTAAATAATTCTTAAGAAATTGCGTTTATTATTTCTAGGATTCTAAGTCGAACGTTCCTAAAAACCGTAAGTTTAATTGGCCATAACTCGGCCCAAAGTCATTTTGTAAGAAAGCGGATATCACTTTGCGTTAGGAAGTCTATTCAATAGTAGCAAAAAATATATTCCGTAACTTTTGAGAGTCCTCAAATTATTTGCGGATATTTTTTTTGTCCGCAAAAAATTTGCGGATAAAGTTTTCCCGATTTCAAAGATTAATTTTTAGGTTATATCAAATAATAATGTAACAACAATCACTTCTACAACAGACAAATATTCATTAACACTTTCTCCAAAGGATTTGATAGAACTTTCACATATTGAAAGAAGCCAAGATTGTAATGAAACAATTGATATTAGAATGCTTTTGAGTGATATATTAATTGATAGAGAAGTGAATACTCCGCGCTCTGAACGTTTACTGAGGTTTTGGATTTTTTGGAATCTTTTTAGAATTTATTGGGGGGCGGGGGGGGGGGGGGTTTAACTTATAATATTATATGGGTTTTCTTTATTTGTTTTCGGTTTGGATTTGGATTAATCCAGTTAAGTGTAAGATCGATCTCCAGTAATCTGACCATCCATATACAGTCGGCACTACATATAACACAAAATACAAAATAAAATTCGTTTGATCATTGGGCAGCAAGTGAGTATCTAGAGAGTGGATTTCAGGGTAGAATCAAGAAGCAAAAAAATTACTTTTTAAGATGGGGTGTGCACCAAAATTTTGGTGTTCACTTTAACAAAATTTTAACAAAATCCTTAAAAATAACTCCTTTATTCTATTTTTAGATGTATTTTGGAATGGAAAAATCCTCAAGTTGAGCGTGTATTTAGTCAGGCAACTTTGGAATTTATTGAGACTGCCAAAAGTCAAATCCATGGTTTAATTGAAAAAGAATTTCGAAATATAGTTTTATTTTAGATATTTTCCAAGTTTATCTACAAATTTCAACTACTCATAACAACAAAAAGTCTATGTTGTGTACTTTTGGAGGCGAAGGGAGTGATTTGCAGAGAGCAAGAGGTATTTTATTTTTGAAGTTTAAAGAAAAATTGGAACATTATACAGGAATGGGCCAGGTTGGGAAAAAGCCGGGTCGGGGTTTGGGTGACCCCGCACATATATGCTAAAATAAATTTTGCGGATTAACCTAGATCACCCAGTAGGGGGTGGGTGATATGTCTCCGGGGTCAGGTCAGTTTTCGAAAATTTCTCGGGTCGAAAAGTTCAGGTATCGAGTTTTAGGTAACGTTAATCGAACCCCACGCGATAAAACAATCGAATCCTTTTAATCATTTCAAATCTCTAAAATATTTTAAAGATGATGCATGTTGGCAAGCATTGGAATATCTTTATATTTTTGGAGGATTTGCACCTAAAAATGGCAACAAAAACGGGGAAGAATAAATTATTTATTTTAAAAGTGTGATTATTTTAATTTTGAACCAAAAAGAATATATGTATTTTATTTACAATTTGATAATTTTGACTTTTTTCTCTTTTCCCCTCCCCAAACTCAATTTTTGGTCTTCGTCTTATCTTTAAAATATTACTTATATTTATTTTTTTGTAATTTGAAAAAGAATTGACACTTATTTAAATGGTTATATATTAAAATATGGGATAACATAAAATCAGGATCCCAGCAGCATTCCGATATACACATAAATACAATCGTCTTCCTTAATCCCTCAGTATCCATTCAATATCCTTTTAAATCCCTTCAAATTCCTATAAATTTTAGGATGAGATTAATTCCGAGGGATCCTGCCCCGTTCGTATCTTTGAAAGAAATCCCTCACGTGAAGCAATTTTGCCGCACCCTGTTAATTAAATAAAAAATTATTTTAAAAAGCTCCCATTTATTATACAAAGGGATTAAAATTAAAAATTGAATCAATTAAAAGAAAAAAACAAAAAATAGAATAAAGTGCCATTACATTACCACTTTAGAATTTATATATATTGGGGGTAACGGATTTTTGAAATTAATTAGAAATTGTGTTTTTTTGAAAAATTAAAAAAACTCAAATATCCGTTAAAAGAAAAAGAGCAAATAACAAAGAAAAGGCTGCCGAAAATAATAGAATAAAGAAAAGACAAAGTGTTGCACACCAAACAAATTATTTACTAAAAGGATTATTCCCAAAACTTGTTTTTAGAACAGTTCAGGGTGCAACCTTCAATACATTAAAAACCCTGCAAACTAGAGGAGGAGGACTCTTTGTTTTTTAAATATATAGAGAAACCAAAAGGGATCAATCAATTTGTTAAATTTACTTTAAAAAATAATTATTTTTGATTAATTGATCCCCTTATAAAGTTTCAAAATAAAACCGAAAAAGAATAAGCTTCTTTGCAATTTTGTAAGTTAATATGTGCAAAATATAAAAAAGAACATCTCTCGGGAGCGAAAAATAATACATAAAATAATATTACCTTATTTTTACTCGATTAATCAACTAATTTTTTAAATTAATTACTGGGAGGTAGTATTTCTCACACTTTCCATTACAATTAAAAGTGAAAAATTCAAATTCTAAAAAAATTGAAGGATCAATTAATCGAGTAAATGCAGTAACTGAGGCACTTTTTAAACATTTTTTAACTTAAAATTTAGGAGCAGGTAATTGCTCATATCCATATTCACTTGAATCGTTCATGTTGATAGAATTAGAAATATTTACACCGCTTTCCTCCTCTCTTTTCTGAACTGGTACTTTCAAAACAAGTTTGGATTGAGGGTCCTGAAAAAGATTTTGAAAGGGTAATATTCTTAAATTTTTAGAGTTGCCCCATTTTTATACAGTCGTGGAAAAAAGTATGGAAGCGCTAGAAAATTTTTTCTTAATTCTTAATTTTTCATTCAAAAAATACGTTCTATATACCAATCGAAAGCTCTATTCGTATCTCAGTTGACATGTTTCTGCATTTTTCATGAAAATGAAAATTGGCCGAGATAATCCGGATCTACCGGATATACCAAATCCCACTTTTTCGGAAAAATTTTTCGGAACAAATTTAACAAACCCAAATGATAAAGCATATTTTTGTGAGCATTTACCACAAAACCGCTTAGAAATATCTTTTTCCGGAGCAGAGATATGATTTTTTGAAAATGGGTTTTTTCGTCTATTTTTGCAAAAAATTCAATTTTTAAGGGAAAAATGCGATTTTCAAAAAATCATATCTCTGGACCGGGCAAAGATATTTCTAAGCGGTTTTGTGGAAAATACTCAAAAAAATATGCTTTATCATTTGGGTTTGTTAAATTTGTTCCAAAAAATTTTTCCGAAAAAGTGGGATTTGGTATATCCGGTAGATCCGGATTATCTCGGCCAATTTTCATTTTCATGAAAAATGCAGAAACATGTCAACTGAGATACGAATAGAGCTTTCGATTGGTATATAGAACGTATTTTTTGAATGAAAAATTAAGAATTAAGAAAAAATTTTCTAGCGCTTCCATACTTTTTTCCACGACTGTATCTTCACCTTTTATGCACTTTTGAGCCCGAAATCCTTTGATTAATTAACAAATAAAAAGAAGAAATAAAGGGAAGAAAATTAAAAATTGGACCCATAAATATTCAAAAATTACCAGTGCCGTTGTTGATTGTTGACGGTTATTGTGGGAATCATTTAAATTCGACGAATTTCCAGACATATGCAAAATTGAAATTGGCCCAATAGAATTATCTGGAACATTTTCCAAGTCAGCATCCAAATCTGCCTCAACAGTACGTCGATAAATTGGGTTGTCGAAATGAAGGACAGCAAAATGGCGTGGACGTCTGTGTTGATAGGTATATAACTGGAAATTTGAAATTAAAATTTTTATAGGTTCTTTTAGGTTATTCCAGGAAAAATCCCTAATTATTATCCTAAAAATTTTAAAAAATACCAAGGCAAAAGCAGCAAAAATAATTAACAATCCAAAGAAGTAAGTACCCATACTTATACTTCCATCATCTTTAATGTGTTTAAATGCTAAAATCAAAAATAAAATTTTAAAAATTCTTTAAAACAATTTTTACATTCACTCGCCGCATCAGCAATAATTCCAAGTGGATTGAGAGGAACACAGAGAGAGGAATTTCCAATGTCAATCTGGAAACCACGTTCACAAGCACAGGAAAATGGAAGTTCTTTTAGAGGAGTTTCACGATCTTTTGATTCGCCTTCTAAAAAATGAAAAAATAATAATTTTAAGAGAAAAATATTCAATTCTCCCAATTACAACACCCCATCCAGAATACCTCCCTCATAATCATCCCAGCTCAATTCAGTCCCAAAGGGTTTGTCGTATTTGAGAGAATCCAATAAAAATAGTTACTCACTGTATAAAGCTTTAGGTAAACAAATATGTTGACAACCGCTAAGTTTACATTTATTTTCATGTTTAGGCTGAGCTTGTTCATGATATACACGTACAGTCATTGGGCCAGTAACTCCACTCATTAACTATTAAAATAAAATTTTAATTATAGGTACCAAATCATCTTTTATAACTCATTCGAAACAACTAATTGAGTTTGATATGTATGTATATTCAGAGCGTGGATAGGCCAAGTTGAGAAAAATCGTGTCGGATCTCAGAATTTTTCCGGATCGGATTTTAGAATAATTGGATACCTGGTAAATCGTTCCACCTCTAATTCAGAAATTTGTAACTTAAACCACTTAAATTTCCCACGAATAATTTCCAAATATTCGTTTAAAGACAACGGGCTCCTAATTAGATAAAATAGACAAAATTTGATTATACCCACACAAAGTAAAATTTTCAAAAAATTATTTATATGAAAATTAAAAACCTTTTTAACTTCTCCTCCATGAAATTTGTTAACAGAAAGAACCCCTTCTTGATCCCAATCAGTCCAATAAAGACGTTCTTCAAATACTGCCAAGGAGAAAGGATGACGCAAATATTGATGTGAATGTAAAATTGTTCGTATATTATTTCCCCAATAATCGCAGCTGCTAATTTGTTTTGTTTTAGCATCTGCCCAATAAATTCTCTTGTCCAAAATATCAATTGCCAACCCATTTGGCCAACGAATTGTGTTGCCTTTAATTATTACCTAAATAAAAAGGGGATTTAAATAAAACATTTTCAGATTTTGAAAAAAACCATCCGATTCTTTCCATCCATTCCAGCTCTTTCAATTCTTGCAGTTTCACCCCAATCCGTCCAGAAAATTAATCCAGCAGAGGGATCTACGGCTATTGCTCTAGGTTCATCCAAACCATGGCCGTTGATAATTGTAGTCCGTTTCTTCTTTTTCAAATCATATACATTTATCTAAAAAATAAAGAAAAAATTACTAGTCGCTAGGGAAAAACAAAAAAAGAACTCTTCAGATATTTTTGGGTTTGTAAGTAAGTAATCGACAAGTTGAGGGTAGGCGAGTCACTTTAGATCAAAATCGAAATGAATAAAATTATTCATACACAGCCACCACGACTACTTTATGACAACCCCAAAAAATATCCAAATGGTTTAAAAATCATACAGTGTCAGTCCCTGTATCTGTCCAAAAGATAAGTCCATGAACCCAATCAATCGCGAGACCATCAGGAGTAGTTACATCCTCAGTAATTCTAGTCAAATTAGGTCCATTACAGGCATTGTTAATACTTTCAAAGGTTGCGAGATCTCCTAAACCATTTATGCCTGAGCAAATGACAATCTTCAAAATATTTAACAATCAAAAATAAACTTTCATCTTAGTGTTAATAAAGAAACCTGTTCTTTGCTAACATCAGACCAAACCAAAGTTTTGTTATCGTGCCAATAATCAAGAGCTACGGCAGATTCAAGCTTGTTTATCAATGGATGATATTTGTTCGTAACAATGTCATATTGACGAATTGCTGCACGATTTGACAAAAGTAACAAAGGATCTGATCCCCGAGCACGACACTTGTGAGGGACAGGTTTGTCCATATTTTTGGTTGGAACAGCAAGTCTGTAGCCTGGATAGCAATCACATTCATAGCTACCTGGTATATTTCGGCAAAGTTGATCGCAAGTTCCCACTTGATCACACTCATTTATATCTCAAATAATTACAAATTTTAATAATGAATTTTAAAAATCCTATTTTTCATATTTTACCCCAAAAATATAAAGGTAGGGTTAATTATCCAGAAAAAACTGCAACAGAGCTTAATGAACTTCTTCCTGTAAGTTTCACGGACCACGGACTTTAAATAAAAATAAGGGAAATAGAAGGCACCGTATCACCTTCTCATGTCAGGAAAAGATAATTCTGTACCGGACATTTGCTTTTAACATTATGCCCAACATATTTAAAAAGAAAACCTATGCAAACATCCCCACTCAATTGATAACCACTATTGCAATGACAAATCTTCCCAGTACCAACTCCTGTATTCCTACATGAACAAGCATTACTATTCTCTTTGCAAATAACTGTTAAAATAATTTTAAAATACTTTTTTATAATTTGAAAAAAAAACAAACCTATTTGCTCTTTACAAACAGATTTCGTGCAGTCATTTGAATCCAAATTCTTTCGACACAAATCTTGTAATTTAATGCACCGTGTCGGACTTTCCGGACAGGTATACTCTGTATTGGAGTCACAAGTTTGTGTTGACAATTTAATCGGTGAAGTGCAGTTTTTCTCATCAGAACCATCATGACAATCTTCTGTTCCATCACACCAAAGATTTTCGTCAATACATTGACCATCTTTGCATACTTTTTGTTTGGCCGGACATTTGCTTTTAACACAATTAAATTCATCACTTCCATCAAAGCTAAATGAATTTTTAAATAAATTAGAAAAACTTTAAATAATCTTACCAATCATGATCTCCATCGCAAAGCCAGAATTTACTGATACATTGAACACCACTTTCGCATTTAAATTCCTTAAAATCGAAATATAGTCGCCATAAAAAAATAAAAAAAAGACAGTATTTTAGTAACACAGAATCCTACCCTGGTTACACCCTTACGATAAAGCAAAAATGTAAGTAGAATGACCGGTTCCGTGACTTTTGCGCCGGGAACATTTGCGCCGCGACTTATGCGCCGCGACTTTTGCGCCGCGACTTATGCGCCGAGCGACTTTTGCGCCGGGGGACTTTTGCGCCGCGACTTTTGCGCCGGCCGACGTTTGCGCCGCGACTTTTGCGCCGGACGACTTTTGCGCCGCCACTATCATTAATAATTATTAAAAACTACAGCCGGACCTCACTATAGAAGATGTAGGATAGTTGGAGATTTTCGGATATCAAGATCCGGATCCGATATCCGACCTAAAATTTGTCGCGAAGCGACTAAGGATGAGGAAAATAAAATAAATATATTTTTATAATTTTAATTCTAAATTAATCATCATTTTTTGCAAATTCCTTTTTCGGACTTTCACCTGGCTAAAAATCATTTTTTGTTGTAAACATCTATTCAAACTCTATTTACATTTTTAGTCCTTTTGTTCTAAAACTTAACTTTATTTTTCACTCTTTTGTATCATTCAAAACATGTGCATTTTTATTTAATCGTTCCTATTATGCCTTTAATGATCGAAATATTTTCTGTCTACCCGCCTATTTTTCTGGCCTATATAATCTCCCCTTCCAAACCCCAATTTAGCGCTTTCGTTCGCAGCTTCTTTCTGGGTTAGCTAGCTTTCTCATTAGCTCATTCTGTCTGGCTTGCTTCTCTTGGTTTTATAGCTCTGGTTCTTGTGGCCTTATCATTAATTTACTTGTTGGATTTTAATTGTGTGAAATAAACTTATTACTATTTGTTTGGCTTTTATTTGGTGTTCTAATTCCTTGGCCAATTGTGTTGGAATCTTTTGGCCTAATCCAAGCAAGCTTTTGCTGAATCTTTTGTTGGTGGTAAACCCTTGGCCAATTGTGTTGGAATCTCTTGGCCTAACCCTGCCTTTTTTCGGAATAGTTTATTGGCTCTATTTTGCTATATATTTTTTGGTGCAACGGCCGGGAACTTGTGGTCTAGCATTCGTGCAGCATCACAACCCCGAGCAGCCTGTGTTCAATTTGAGAAGAGCCAATTGCCGAAACTCTAAAACTTATTGGTGGAAAGCCATTTAACCGTTGCAACTTTTGAAGCCACTTGCCGCTAATCTGTGTAACGACAATGTCAGGAAAAATCCGAAGTGATTTGTTGGCCGCTCTGAGCGAGATGCAATTCCATTCTATAGAGGCTATGCGTATAATGAAGATGGGACGAGATGCTACCACTTACAGTTTGCTAGATGTGGAAAAATCGCATTTGGAGGAAACTATTTCTAAAATAGAGAAGCTCGACCTCGAATGGAACAAACATATGTCTAAACTGCATGGCTTAAAGAAATTAGCTGAAGAAGATTTATATAGGGATTTTCCATCTAACGAACCTTCTTACGAGTTCATGCCAGACTTCCTACTCTCTCAACAGGACTTTGTTACTCAATGCAAATTTGCCCGACAAATGGCCGTATCAATTGGAATAATGCTGGAGAATCTTGGCCCGCCTACTAAAGATAGTTCTGACCCATCTGAAATGAACAAATCGTCAGATAACTGTACAGACGATCTTGGAGGCCAAAATGGGAAAACGCTTGAGCCGCCTACGGCAAGGCTCCCGGATAATCCGTCACCTACGCCACAGCCGCCTATGGTTAATAAAAATCGAGTGGTGGAACAGAACCGTTGCCTGGAGTGCTCATTATGTAGAGGGAATCACCTCCCGAGCCACTGTACTCAATATAGCAACCCAAAAGCTAGGAAATACAAATTACTCGAACAGCATCGTTGCCTTAACTGCCTGAGGGATGACCATCTAACCTTTGAATGCCAAAATAATCGCCGTTGCAGTAGGTGTCGCGGAAAGCACCACTTCATGGTTTGCTATTCACGTGGGCCAAAAACTCAAATTCTGGAACCTATGCGAAAAAGCGATGCTCATTGTTCGAAGCCGGTTGGGATGTTTGAAGTTAAAAAGATGTTGGATGAAAAGACGAAAGCTCTCCAAGAAAAAGATAAAACGATAGTGAAATTGATGTCCGAACCAGACCTGGGCGAAACTCAAAATTTTTTTCTGACGAAACGAAACGAAACAAAATTTTTTAAAAATCGTTTCGTTAACGAAACGAAACGAAACAACCAAAATCTTACGAAACGAAACGAAACAAAACGAAACATTTTAATATTCAAAAAATTTTCAAAACTGCATTTATTTCGAAATTATTCGACCTCAAATACGTTATTAGTCGACTATGACTTATAAATGATTTAGTTATTGGTTTATTTACAACAATTGTGTCCCATAAGCCAGGCCCGTAGCAAGGAAAATTTTCGGGGAAGGGGGGGGGGTCAATCATTTTCGAAGCCAAATTTTTGGCGACGCTTTTTTTTAAATAAAATTGAATATTTTTCAAGTAAAATTTTATTTTAAGCGCCGCAGACGAAAAATTTTAAAATTTTGAAAGGCCGTAGGCCAAAAAATTCACCATCTTGCTCCATTGCCTACCCAAATTGTCTCCATATCTCCATTTCGAGAGGAAGGCGATATAAGCTAGTGCTTCGCCGGAAGTTCCGGTTCCAGTATTTCCGCAACTCGCAATCCGCAATTTTTAAATTATGATGCGAGTCCGGTAATAGAATTTGTCGTCGATTAAGTAATATGTATATGTGGATTAGGGAGTGGAGTATAAACGGATTTGTAGTATATAAGTAATTGCTATCTTCCTTTTTCAGCGCCGCAGGCGAAAATTTTGACAATTTGGGAAAGCCAAGAAGCCGAAATTCTTTTTTTTTCAGCGCCGCAGGCGAAAATTTTTTAAATTTTCAATAAAAGATGGTAAATTTTATAGATTTTGGCCTTAGTTTAGGCTTAAAAAATTGTTTCGTTTCGTTGAAAAATCACAGGTGTTTCGTAACGAAACGAAACGAAACAAATTTAAAAGTGTTTCGTAACGAAACGAGACGAAACAGTAAAAATCATACGAAACATACGAAACAACGAAACGAAACGAAACGTTTCGCCCACGTCTGGTCCGAACTTATGTTGGCACGCAAAAAGGCCGAGGATGAATCCAAAAAAGCTAAACGATTAAAACGTCTGCTGGATGAATCTAATCAGAGGATTGTGGATGATCATGGAAAAAGAATTCTGAAAGAGACTCGTGTTAATGCCCTTCAGAAGGCTAACCGAAAATTGATTGCCAGAAATGGTAAGCTAAAACGGGAAGTGCACGCCTACCACAAAAAATGCCAACGAGAAAAACTGGAACCACCAGATTTCTATGCCTTTTGCCGCTCATGGATAGATATGAAAATGTCTGTGCTGGTCTTAGCCGCCTTTGTTATGATTCTGGATGGCACTAAAAATGTTCTGATGATAATTATCCACGCAACAAATAAGCTTTGGAAATGTAAAACGAATGAAAAGATGGAAGAGGAATTGACTCTGGAAACTCCCTCTTGGCTCTCCTTAACGCTTTTCGCCGCCGCTGTTGCGATCAACTCCTTTTGGACCTTTCTCGCCATCTTTACTAATGTTATGGATGGTTGGGCACATGCATGGAAAGAGAGCAGAAAATGTGCAATGGATGATGTGCCAAAGATCAAGAAAAGAAAGAAAATACTTGAAAGATGGAAAAAAGAAATTGAGGATGAAACTTTCAGGCGCGGGCGGGAATGTCGCGAAGCGACTAAGGATGAGGAAAATAAAATAAATATATTTTTATAATTTTAATTCTAAATTAATCATCATTTTTTGCAAATTCCTTTTTCGGACTTTCACCTGGCTAAAAATCATTTTTTGTTGTAAACATCTATTCAAACTCTATTTACATTTTTAGTCCTTTTGTTCTAAAACTTAACTTTATTTTTCACTCTTTTGTATCATTCAAAACATGTGCATTTTTATTTAATCGTTCCTATTATGCCTTTAATGATCGAAATATTTTCTGTCTACCCGCCTATTTTTCTGGCCTATATAATCTCCCCTTCCAAACCCCAATTTAGCGCTTTCGTTCGCAGCTTCTTTCTGGGTTAGCTAGCTTTCTCATTAGCTCATTCTGTCTGGCTTGCTTCTCTTGGTTTTATAGCTCTGGTTCTTGTGGCCTTATCATTAATTTACTTGTTGGATTTTAATTGTGTGAAATAAACTTATTACTATTTGTTTGGCTTTTATTTGGTGTTCTAATTCCTTGGCCAATTGTGTTGGAATCTTTTGGCCTAATCCAAGCAAGCTTTTGCTGAATCTTTTGTTGGTGGTAAACCCTTGGCCAATTGTGTTGGAATCTCTTGGCCTAACCCTGCCTTTTTTCGGAATAGTTTATTGGCTCTATTTTGCTATAAAATTTGGCTATCCGGCTTTTTCAGATCCGAATATCTGGATCCGACAACCCTACACTATAGCGCACTCTCTTTTGGCAGAAAATCATGTCTGAATAGGGGTAGCAGACCAAATATTCTGATTTGAAAAAGTCAAGTTCTTTAAAGATGACCCCTCTAGGGGGTCGGTTTATTAGAGGGGGCTATTGTACTTCCCGAAATATTGGCTTCCTGAAATTCCTTCAGCTCCTGTATATCATTTTTAAGGAGTACACCATAATTAAGTCTGACTGTAGATATTATTTTTTTAAATTATGGCGGCGCAAATGTCGCGGCGCAAAAGTCGCCCGGCGCAAAAGTCGCGGCGCACAAGTCGCCCGGCGCATAAGACGCGGCGCAAAAGTCGCGGCGCAAAGGTCGCCCGGCGCATAAGTCGCGGCGCAAAAGTCGCGGCGCAAATGTTCTCGGCGCAAAAGTCGTGATACCGAATGACCAACCCTTCTTCGATATTCATCCTCATGTCAGTGTCAATCTGACAAGAGTATGATAAGGAAGAACCCCATATTCCCTCAATTTACTAAAGTTATCCCTCAAAAAATAATAAACAAACATGGGCAGTGCAGTTTAATGGGTGAAGATATGGGTGTAATTTGTCTGATTTGCAATCAGCTTCATCAGAATGATCAGGACTAAAAAATATTTTTGATGTATTTTTACAAAACAAACAAAAAACTACTAACCAGTCAGGCTCACCATCACATCTCCATCTTGAATCGATACAAAAATTGTTTGATTTGCACTAAAAAGATATTATCTATTTTTTATTACATCTTTATTTAAAGATGAGGCACTTGGTAAGATCGGAGGGCCCGAAATTGCTGTCATTCAATCACATAGGTACATTTAAGGTAGTGGCTCCTAGAGACATTCCGGAACGGTCAATTTAGTTGATTATCGAAAATCGATAGACACATTATAATAAAGAAAATGTCACCATTTTAGGCCCTCCCATCTTCCCGAGTGCCAAATATTTACGAAAAATTTTTAAAAATCAAAACAAATACTTTGAATTTTCCAATGCCTTCACATGCTGCTTCTTTACAATCTGTTTCATCGCTCCGATCCCTACAATCATTATCGCCATCACAACGCCAATGTTTGTAGATACACTGGCCATCATTACATCTATAATTATAGAATAATAAAATTGTGAATTAATAATTGTGAATAATTAACAAATTATTTAATTTTCTAAAATTATTAACCTAAATTCGGTTTGATGGTCACAAATATCTTTTGGTGTGTCAGTACAGTTTGCCTCATCCTTCATATCCAAACAATCAGTCTATTTTTAAATAAAAATAAATCTGATATTTCTAAAACAAAATAAACCTGTCCATCACAAACCCACTCTTTGGGAATGCAAGAGGTTAACAAATTGTCAAAGCCCTTGCATTCAAAATGATTTTCGTCACATTTAATCTCTGAAAGTTTAATTTTATTTTCAAAAAATAACATGTTAAAAAATTTACTTGGACAGTTCTCTTCATCATCCTTATAAAGACAGTCGGGTTCCCCGTCGCAGCGCCATTCTTTTGGAATACAAGAATGTTTATAAAGTCCAATTGGGCCCAAATGTGTTAGCCAAGGATTTAAAGTTTCAGTCCTAACTCCTTTCTCTGTTGTATGACAGGCATATTCGTTAACTTGACATTGAGTTGGCTTATCATCTGAAAATGGACAAACTATTTTGCTTACTGTCCATGTCTTCTATTAATGTAAGACACTCTTGGAACCGAAGTGAGTTGACTAGAAATCAGATAGGATCCAAACTTTGATTTTGATTAAAGTTAAGAATCCTGTCAATGTCAACAATAAAAAGCGTAAAAGGATCACCATCTCTCAAGGAGACGCAATAAAACTTAAGATTAACAAATTGATTACCGCAATTCTTTTCATCTTCTCCTTCTTTACAATCCACTTCAGAATCACATAGCCAAGAATTGGGTATGCATTGCAAAGTAGAAGGGCAGAGAAACATGTTTTTAGAGCAAGACTGATCTAAAAAATTTAGGGGTAATGGCTAGTTCGTCCCTCTCTCTCACTTCCGGTTATCCTTGGTTCATACTGAATAGCTTTCGATTCCACCGCATTGTTGGAATCTTCTAACTACGGCAACATAGTTTGGCAACCAGTGACATCACATGTGCCCGGCACTAACCCCGACAATAAACAAAAGTAAAGAGAGAGGGAACGAACCAAAAAGTACCTAAAATTATTTAACAAAAATAAACCTTTTTTATTAATTAGCGGAATCGGATTTTGTTGAGCAACACGTCCAAACACAACAACATTCTCAAAAACAAGTAAAATAAATATAAACGATAACATTATTTGAAGACTTCTGTTAAGCATTTTTATTAAAATCTAAAAAAATATTAGCAATAATTTATAAAAAAATAAATGTGGCCACATTTTTGAATGTCTTTTTAGTGATAAGCAAGGAAAGTATAGAAGGGGGAAGGGGGACTGTTAGGTGGAAAATTTAAAACAACAAATTGATGACTAATCAAAAATACTCAATACTACTCTATACCCTTTTCAGCGCTCATTCTTGCTCATTTTAACTAAAAAATAATAGGGGGAAGGGGGGGGGGGTATTTCGAAATAAATTTTTAGACAAATGGATGTATTTGTACTTGGATTTTTTAAATGATTTTTTAATAAAATTGTCTGAAAATTTCTAATATTGAAAAAAAACATTTTGTTAGTACACCTGCCCCGCTTATAAATGTAAACAGAATACCAAAATTTATAGTTAAAGTGAATGAAAAAAAGTAAAAATAATTTATATAGAGTACTAGAAGGAAATGTAAAAAGATAAACAAGGTTTGTGGATAGATAGACTGGATTGAGACGAGATCTTGAACAAAAATCTAGATTATCGAAATTGAGATTCCTTGAGGATCTCAATTCCCGTTCGACATTATCATTACGAGCTGTGTAATAAGTAGTTACCCTCCCGTAACCGTATCAAAGGAAAATGCCGCCAACCTATTGAAGGGTCTGGTTGGGGGAGGGGTCCGCCCCCATAAACGTCAGCCTATTGAAGGGTTTTGGCGCGCGATGGGGGAGGGGGTAAGGGGAAATCCAATCCTAATGGGGTGTTTTGAATTAATTAGGGGGAGGGGGCAAGGAAAACAATTTGTTCTAATAATTGGTCGGGGTTGGGTGTAAGGGGGATTTCGAGGTGCTAATTAGTTGACTAATTGATCGGGGTTGGGGTAAGGGGGAAGATTAAAAATTAAATGGTTTACAAATTGGTCTAAGGGAGGGGGTACGGGGGAATTTTTTAATATACTAATTGTTGACAAATTGGTTGTGTGAGGGGTAAAGGAAAATTTTAAGGTGTTAAATTGTGCGCGAAAAATTTTATTCTATTTTTTAGTAAAAAATAATTTAAATAATTTTATGCCTAAGTAGAAGAAGAAAAAAAGGGAGAAGAAAAGTACACTGAGAAAAGACGCCAAGCGTTTTTCTCAGAGTACTTTTCTTCTCCCCTTTGATTGATTGCATAAATAATAATGTATAAAAAATTTTTTCATCATTTTTATTAATTTTTCAGATTTTTTTTTAATTTTTATAAAAAATTGTAAAATTATATTTTTAGGTTTTTTAAAAATTTGTTGACAAATTTTTACTAATTTCTTCATAAATATTTAAACAATTTTTGATTATTACAACAAGCGCTCTACCATTTCTTCTCGTGAGGTGCAAACAGCTGTTCGTCTAAAAAACACCTCCATTGGAAAATAAAGGTAAATTATATTGTTTTCAAATAGTTTTAAAAATTATAGACCACCAAGGGTTCGAACCTCACACCTAAAAAATTCCAGCAGTATACCACTTAACCATGAAAAATTTTCCCAGTATTAAAATATTTCGATTAATTTTAATCAAAAAATTTCTTTTTAACATTTTATTTAAGCTATTATTTTTATTCTAAGGATTCTGAGGCTTCGCGACTTGCACATTACAACAAGCGCTCTACCATTTCTTCTCGTGAGATCTCTTTTATATTCTCTTTTTATATAGTTTTAAAAATTATAAACCCAAAAGGGTTCGAACCTTGCTCTTAAAATCCCCACCGGTATACCACTTAACCATGAAAAAATTTCTCAAAATTAGATAATTTTTGGGAAAATTTTTTTCTTTTTAATAAAATTCACTCAACTTAATCAAAATTTTTTGATTTTTTTGAGTTGTTTTGATTAATTTTAATTAAAAATTTTTCTTTAAACATTTTCCTTAAACTATTGTTGGGATTATTTAACCTGTCCGTGTTAATTATTACTGAGACTTCGTGACTTACGCATTACAACAAGCGCTCTACCATCTCTTCTCGTGAAGTGCAAACAGCTGTTCGTCTATAATAACTAAAATGTCAGACAGGTCAAGACAACTTGGTTTGAAAAAAAAAGTAGAGGAAACATTCGACGGCTTTGAATGTTTGTTTTATTTATGTATATAGATATTAATTTAATTAAATTCAGACGATAACGATCCGTACGAGAAACCTTATACCCGCTCCCAAACAAGTACTTTTTATTTATATTCAAATTTTCTAATGAATATAGGACTCCCGCATGGAAGTTATGTCCAAAGCTGTTCCTCCTCAATACAACCCCCAGGTTTTAAAAAAAATATTTATCTATATTTATATCAAGTCGATCAACCGCGACGTCGAGTCGCTCCACCAACCTTATGCTCACTCGAATCAATTACTAAAGCCGGTTTATATTATTATAATTTTTATTATCCTACTTAATATTGTAGGACCTTTGAAAAAAAAAGTTAAAAAAATGGGAAAAGGTGCTATTCAAACTGAGACCGACTCTCAGCGGGACACCGATGCTGAAGGCTTTAAACAAAGTAAAATCATCTATTTATAAAAAATGAATAGTAATCAATAATTATTAGGAAAAGAAGTTTCTTTCAACGAAACTATTGTTATTTTAAATGAAGCTGTAGAGGAGGAGGAGGAGGTTATTGTAAATGAGGAAGAGGTCTTCCCTGAGGAGGAGGTCGACATACCAGGTTTTAGAAAAACCCGTTATATTTTCAAGCATTCTAAAATGTATAATTTAGACAATGTTCCTCGTGGTATTAATGAAGCTGCTCGTATATTACCGGTTGTTCAAAAAAACCGTTGCAAACATCTGGACCATCCAAAATCAAAGTGTCCAGCTTTGCTTGAAAAATACGGTGAAAGAAATGCTGCTGGGGTAAAAAATTTTTTATATTTAGAATTAGGTATATTAATTTGTGAAATAAAAAAGTAATATTTTTGAATTTCTGTATTATGGTTCTACACAGACGCAGTCATTTTGACTAGCGTTGAGTGGTTCCATAAAGGAAAGGTACAGACGCAGACATAAGTCTTGCGTTGAGCCTTTTCTTGTTTCGATTTGAACTTTTTTACTTTTTTATTTCAATAGTTAGAATTATTTAATTTGGGAGTTGAATTTTTGTAAAATAAAAGTAAAATAATTGAATTTTTGAAAATAAAAAATAATAAAAAAGTAAAAGAAACTTCTGTATTATGGTTCTACACAGACGCAGTCATTTTTGACTAGCGTTGAGTAGTTCCATAAAGGAGAGGTACAGACGCAGACATATTATGTCTTGCGTTGAGCCTTTCCTTATTTCGATTTAAACATTTTACTTTTTTATTGCAATAGTTGGAATTATTTAGTTTAAAATTAGTTCAGAGGTTTCATTTTAGGACATAGTTTTATAAAAATATAACATTATATAATTAAATATATTTACTTAAATAAAGGAATTGGTATTACCGGACAGAGTTGACCAAAATGGAAGAGCTTTTTGGATTATAGAGAAAATTATAGAAAAAGAATTTGGGGAGGATGGACTACCTGTGAGGGCGCTAGTTCAGTGGCAGGGTTTTACTCCCGAAGAGGCTCAGTGGGAGCCTGCCACAATCTTTGCTGATGCTCCGGCTGTGCTTTACGATGAGGGAGTAAAGGATGGTATCACCGACACGGTGATACATCTGGGAGGCTTTGCTAGAAATGAAAAAGTTGAAAGAATTATTAATAATTTGTCTGCAGCTAATCCAGACATCCAAATCGTTAAAGTTTTCCCAGGCTTAGCTAAATTAGGGAATAAAGAACACATGACGCAACAACAAAAGCAGAATTTAAGAAAAAAATTACAGAAAATGGGCAAAGCTGCCGAGAGAAAGGGGTTGAAGGTTCCGGTAATTTTCTCTAATTATTAAAAACTGAAAATGTTTTAATTATCTCACACAATTTATATTCTAAATTTATATATTTAAAGTTTATAGGGGGGGGGGCAATTATCTATCCAAATAATTTTACTACCTAATATAGTAAATATTAGTATTCTAAAATTTTCAGCGGAACGCAGATACTGAAGGCTTTAACCAAAATAACAATTAACGCTCAAAGCTAAAGGCTTAAAACAAAATAACAATTAACACTCAAAGTTCAAGACTATAAACAAAATAACAATTAACGCTCAAAGCTGATGCAAAACCATCAAATCAAACAAATAAAACACTAAACTCAATACTTAATGCTACATTAATTTTTTGGATAAACGTTTTCAATTATATATTTTTATATTTATAAAATAATTATGGAACTAAAATTAAATAGTGTGAATCTATCAAGTAATTTTATTTTCAAAATTAAAAAAGTTCCGAAATTAATAAGTTCAAGTTTAAATTTAATAATTTAACAAACATTCAAAATGGGTTTGTTCACTACTCGTTATTAACTGGTTTTCGGTTAATCCAAATTTTAAAAATTCGGTCTTTTGTTTTGAGTTTTAGTCAAATACAAGTTGTGTTTTAGAGGAATGTTTTAGATTCGGTTTTTTAAATTCCATAAAAAATATAAAAAATCAAAATTTTCAATTAAAACCGGTCGTGAACAACCCTAATCCAAAACAATATTTTTCCAAATTTAATTTTAAAATTCAAAATTTACTGGTTGTCCATTGCAACCTCTTCTTCCTCACTCCAAGTTTCATCCATTTCTTCACCATTTACAGGATTTTCAACCTGTTGTTGTTCTTCTGGAGGATCCACCTCCATTTGTTGATACTGATGTATCAACTCTTCATCTACAGGCGGAAATATTATGTTGAAGTTTCCAATCCCAATCTTAGAAAATAAAAAATTGATGAAATTAAAAATTAATTACTTGTTCAGCCCAATACTCCACCATTTCTAAACGAAATTGGAGATTTCTAATCATCTCCCTATCCACAAAAATATCTTGATGTAGTCTCGAGATTTGTATGTGATGGGCTTCGACCATAGACCGCATATCAACGGTGTCCTCCCTCAAATTTGAAACCCTTAAGCTTAATTTGTCCATCATTTTTGATAGACCTAAATCTATGTTGTTGTTGTTGTTCTCCATTTTTTAAAAATAATTCTAAAATTAAAAATTCAAAGAAAAATAAGGACACCAATAAAAATTAAAAACAAAAATAAAGGATAATCAAGGAAATGTACAAAAGGAAATGTATAACATTATTTGAATAAAATTACAATAAATTCTCTATTCTCTCACTTACTCCCGCAAGGTCATAGGCGAAAAGTCAGTTACGCCAGCTGTTTTACGAAAACGGCACGCAATAAAAAAAGCGGCAATTATTTAAAGATCAAAAAGAATAATATTTTTTATTTTAATAATATATACACACAAATAGTAAGGGACCATCACAGAAATTTTACTAACTAAAAAATCAACTAATTTTATATATTTATCCAAAATTATATAATTAATCATTATTAACAATTTTTTATCAATTTTATTCATCTCTAGTCTCGCTCTGGCACAACTTGCTCTATAAAAATATAAATAAATATAAATATTGATCTATAAAATATAAATTATAGATTACTCTATAAAACTATTAAAATATTAAAATTAATTACCTGAACTACCCTGTGGAGTAGTTTGTTGCTGT